TATATGCAAGCAGGCACAGTGGCCTTGCCCATATAAGGGGACAGCAGCATGGGAACCTGTCTTATTTCTGCTTTCACATCTGTCAGGTTTTCATTCTGTCTAGGTGATGACTGATTTAAAATGAGGGCAGCCTTGCTTTTCTTTGAGTACAGGAAATGTTCCCAGAACTGTGTTTATCCTCTCGGTTTACCATTCTGAGGGGTGGAGTTGAAGCTCAGAGCAAACCGCTGTTTCCTAGGGACACCAGCTGCCCACTGCCCAGACAAGTGTATTACAGAAACTGAAGCAAGGGTTTTTAGGACTAGGCAGAGTGTACTGAGAGGTGGAGGGCAAGGTCCCAAGGACTATCCTCCCTCTCCTAAGGAGCTAGTAAAGGCTATACTGGAAAGAGGCTAGTTCTAAAACACTCACAGGCAAAGATCACCACCTGGTGTCAGGATACTAATATTACATCACAGAATGAGAATCACTTTAGACATCACAGAACTGCAGACTCTTATGGGAGTGGTTGAGGGATTTAAAATTAATAACAAAAAAAATCCAGTCCACCTTTGGGTAATTGCTCAAATGAGAGACTATCTCTCTCTCTCTCTCTCTCTCTCTCTCTCTCTCTCTTTTTTGTATGTATTTGTCAGGGTGCACATGCACCTATGTGAGCAATGGAAGCCAAAGACATCTTCTCCCTTCAGGTGTCATCCACTTTGTTTCTGGAGACAGAGCCTCACACTGGCCTAGAGACCACCATGTAGGCTATTCTGGCTAGCTTATCTAGCACTAACATTACAAGCATGTCTTCTATTTTGTTTGTTTGCCTTTTAAATACAGGCCCTAGGGACCAGATTCAGGTCCTCTTGCATGAGTCTGTGTGCAGCAAACATTTTGGCAACCAAGCTCACAGCCAAAGACTGTATCTTCTCATAAAGCAAAATATAGTGACTTCAAATAACAAATAGTTTCCCATGGTGAACTTTCCTTGGTTTTTTAACCTAATCTGTTGGCCACCGCAGAAGTTATTTCCTGAGAAGGAAATAACTAGTAGCCTGCTAATGATATTACATTCCAAAGCTTTGCTTCCTAGAAACCACACATGTCTAGGGGCAGTGAAGATGTGAGATGGGAGTGCAGGCCTTTTAGTAGATTCTCCAAATATCTGGATAGCTGGTGAGACTTGACAGCACAGGGAATCTCCTAGAGCCATGGCTAGAATTTGGGTACCCCGTCAGTACAAAGGATACCCGGACAGAAAAGCATAGTTCTTCTTGAAAGCCTAACAGGAAATAAGCTCTCTCACTCTCTTCTCTCTCCTGTCTGTGTCCTGTCCCTCTCTCTGTGCATGTATGCATCTGTTTTGTACCAGAGGGTGGGAGGGAGCATGCTCATGTGTGAGGGACAGAATTTGACCTTAAGTGTTTCTTCAGTTCTTTCTGGCTTCATTTTTGAGTTTCACATAAGACCTGAAGTTTCTGGATCCCACTAGACTTGATGCCAGCAGGCCAAAGGATCCTTTAGTCTCTTCCTTCTCAATGTATGCTGCTGCACCTTGTCTTTCATTTGGATGCTGGGGACTGGAACTCATGCCTTGTTCCTACTGAGATGTGCTTTTTAAAGTACTGTCTTTTTAATCTATGAGTAAGCTGATACATGTCTTAGGCCTTTTGGTGTTGCTAATGCCATATATCAACAGTTGGATGAGATTTTAAAAGAGGTTTATTCTATTCATAGTTCTGGAAGTCTAAGCTCAGGTGAAAGCCTTTTTGAAGAGTCTCAAGGGTGTCACTGTGGGGCACCATGGAGCACGAAGCAGGTGTCTCCTCTGATCTATCTCTCTCCCCTTCCAAAGACACAAATGATCATCTCAGGGGCTCCACCCTAGTGGCCATCTTTAACCCTAGGCATTTCTCTAAGTCTCTTACTTTAAACAGCAAAGCCTGAACACTCATTGCATCTGATGAGGGGGTGTTTTGCCTGTTGAATGTAAGGAAATTAATCCAGGTGCTCTGTGCATTGAGGCCAATAGTGAATGGGGAGGGGGCAGCACGCAGGGGAGGTTGGTCTCTGAAGCGATTCACTCTAAATGGACTCTGTCTACAGAGCACAGTGGTTCCTTAGCCTGGCCACTCCCTTTAGTTACTGGCCACTGCTTTCTCATGTAATCCCCTCAACACACCTTTATTATTTTTATTCTTTCCCAGCCAGACTTCGAGTATTCAAATAGATCAACTTTTTCCCATTTTTCATCACTTTTACTAGAAAATCTGACTGCAAATCTAAATGAAAGTAGCCAATAAGACCCATGGCCCAGCTTAAGGGCTTTGTTTTGAAATCTCCTCTGGCGAATAACCTAGTGAATCACTTCCAAATTCAGGCTTCTACAAGCCTTGGGACATAGGCCCAATCATCAGGATACCTGTAGTGTTGTAACAAGGATGATGCAGCAAGGGTGAGGATGAACTTTCCCCCAATTCCCACCTCAGTCTTTACTTATTCTCATCTTCTGAGGCCCCAACAAGAACATTACAGAAGAAAAACTGAAGCATAGTAGGTTCCTCATCTTCCAAATTTCTTCCAGCCTCAATCTATCACTCAATCTCAAAGTCACTCCTATGCAGCCAGGGACTTGCTACTAGCAATCTCTACACCTGGAAACCGTCTAAGTCTGTTTGATGTCACTGCTAACACAACCAATGCTGGATATGATTGTAGGAGAGATTCATTTGGGTTCACTGAGGCAGTAGCCTAAGGCTGAAAGAGAACACCTGGCAGTGGTTTTAGGTCGGGAAAGCCCCAAGGCAGGGTGTTGTGAGGCAGGAAACAGCGAGTGCACCTGAGTGTCTTCTCTGCTCACCCCTCTTTTTTTAGCTACTGTACCTCATTAAGAGGCCTTACACTGGTGATTTTATCCAATCCTACTGGTTTCCCCAAGTTTCTACCTCCAAACACTCACCTACTGGTATAAATTCCTATTCTCTTTATAACATACAGAGGGAATTAAGCTATAGTACATGTTTGGAAGGGGAAGAACCAGAGCAAGATGTATTTGTCTTCCCAAGATGGATAGAGTCATCAGTGAATGGCAAATTCTTGCTTTCTGCATAGTGAATCCTGTGGCTTAAACAAAACAAAACAAAACACCTTACCACACTGGAATGTAGTTTGAAAGTAGAGGGTTTCAGAAGAGAGAAGCAAAGGAAGTGTGCTGTGACAGGAGCACAGCCCCCAGCTTTTCAGGACCCTTCAGGGTCTGCTGCAGTTTTGCCAGAATGCAGTAGAGTGACAGGATGCAGGATTTTCTTGACTAAGGCAATTTGCATTAAAAATGAATAAAAATAAACCTACCTACAATAAAATTATTGTGAAAATAAAATCTGTATGGGTCAGAAGCAAGAAGCAGACCGTTGTCAGGGGTCACACCTATATTCCTGGTCTCTAATGGATGACATGGTGTCCTTCATAAGGCACACTGCTCCCTCCTGATCTACTCACCTCCCTTCTGTAACTTCCCCATCAATAAAGACACATTCTAAAGAAGAAGCAGTGTCCCTACCCCTATCCCCATTAAAATCACCATCCACAGGAATCCCATGTTAGAAGAAGGAAATGGCCAAAGCCAAGGACCAACCGGAAGGGAAGTCTATATCTAGAAAAAGAATGCCTCACAGTTTTGGCAGCTTGTCAATTTGCCTCGCAGCAGAATCTGGAGCCAACACAATGATGGATCCATGATAGATTGGGCCACACCAACCAGGACTGCTTATCCATACCTCCTGCTCTCTACTTAAGCCTAAACCCAAGTCATGATTCTGAAGATGGACTTGGGGGTCAGGGATGTGGTTGAGGGTAGTTACTGGATCTTCTTTTCTTCCTAATGTGACCCTTGGATACAGCCTTTTCTGATTTTTCACTATTAATTATGTCCTCCATTTGGCTTGTTGAAGAAGGGTGGCCAAGCCTAGCTTGTTACCAGGGATTGCCTCTGACCCTATAAACCCGCTTTCTTCCTGTTTACCAGCCTCTGAGACCTGAACCTTCTACACACAGTGTCAAGTCATGGGCCTGTTTTGCAAGCAACAATGAGAAAACGTCCCCTTGTCTGGGTAACTATCTGGTCTTTCAACTTACACTTTCAAAGAAAGTGTCTTGAAACAGGGAGAGAGTGTGAGTAGTTTTGAGTGTTTTCAGTTTCACTTCCCATCCAGAGAGTTAAGACCAGACCACAGGGTCTGGATGCCCTGGTAGTAAATGCAACACTATTGTCGAAATCTCAGAAATTGGGACTTTGTAACCAGAAGAAGAGGAGAGGCCAGGAGCTTCCGAGTAGATACTGATGGCAACAAAGAAAGTTTCTGGAGACAGTGGATACAACGTTAGAGGGTCAGCCAGAGTTCTAGCCCTTATTTCAAGCAACCTTAAAGGCTGAGTGAGAATTTCTCCTTTTCACCTCTCCAGCATACGCATGACGGTGGCTAGGAAATTTCTCAGAGAATCGTCGGGGTTGGCTGCGTGCAGACAAAATTCATAAATTAGTGGCAGGACTATTCTACCAGCCAGAACCACTGGGGATTGACTTTGGAGGTGCTCTGTCTCTCCCTCCCCTACCCCACCCCACTGCAAGGCCCTCTGGGAATTGTAGTTTTCCCTCCGCTCCCTGCTTTCCTAGCCGGAGAACTGTGCTACTCTGATAGTAACTCTCGCACTTTCCACCCCCAGGCTAGGGCCCTCCCTTGGCGGGCGGCATTTTAATGACATCACTGAAACCACACCCCTTGGAGGATGAAGGCATTTAGGTGTCTACGCAGGGCCTGTAATGCAGCAGGCTGGCAGAAGAGAGCGAGCAGTGCCCGGAGACAGGATGTGGATCTTGTTCAGCTTTTCCAGGACTCCTAGGGCTCTGCTCTTTGCGCCACCCAGCGCCGTGCGGGCTTTCTGATCAGGCGGCGCCGCGGACAAACCCGGGGAGGGGCGGGGCCGGGTGGGGCGGGGACCTGGCGTGCTGTCGTCGCTCTCGGGCCCTCCGGGCTGCGCGGCTCCCCTGTGCCTTGGGCTGCTAGGCTGGTCTGAGCCCTAGGCCGTCTCCACGGGGACCTCGGTGCACGCATGGACCTGCCCGCGCCCGGCGGGAAGCGGCCAGGCTGGCGGTGGCCCGGGAGGCGGAGCAGGGCCGAGGCAGCGGGCCCTTGAGCGCGCGCCCTGCAGGCCCGGCCGCAGCAGCATGATGCCTGGCGAGACGCACCCGGCGGCGCCCGGGCCAGCCGACCTCGCGCGGTGTCAGGGCTGCGCCTCCCTGCAGCAGGTGAGAGGATCCCTGGACGACCCTTTTGAGCTGTCTTGGGGGCGGGTGCCGGTGCTTTGTTTATTCCCGGACTCCAGAATTGGTTCACATGGTGCGATGCTGGTGGCGGACAGAGTGAGCTTGCTCTACAAGGCTCCCTCCTCTCTTGCCCAGATTCAGGATTTGCCGGGCTGAAGTTGGGTTGGTGGGTGACGCTGTCCAAGTGTGGAGGGAATTTTCCTCTCTGGGATGATGGCCTTCTCGCACTCCTAATTATTTGTTGCTTGAAGGCAAGGGTTTTCTGTTTTGTGTTGCGTGCCCAGATCACTAGGCTTCAAAATTTGGGAGCTGCATTTCAGCTTACACCTACCAATGTAACATCAAGCTTAGCTTTTGTTAAGTAACATGTTAGTTACCTGATATATTGCATTAAGGATGTGTACGTGTCGGTAGTTTGTTACAGTGGCGCGCTCTGTTGCTCTGTTCTCAACAGTGAATCCGTGCAGATGGGTTGTAGGTTTAACTGGTGCAGTGAGAATAGTCGCTGTGGTGGGTTCTAGAGACCGTCGCGGCTTTCAGTTCTTAAGAGTCCAGTTTAACTATTGTCAGTGGCAAAACGGAGCTCATCCTTGCCCCATTCACTTCATCCCCTTACTGCTTCGCGTCCTAAGCACTGTTGGTGGACGCTAATAAGATGAACGTGTGCAAGTACGACTTGGCAGGATTCTAGATGTTGGGAAGAAAATAATGGACCATGTCGGGGTGTCCGGGTGAGATGTTTTTGAGGCAGTGGCAGTTGTGAATGTTGAAAAGCAGCTCTGGATGTCGGTTTTAACAGGTGGGACGATTTCTTGACATTTGATGAGCAAAGCCTGTGGAAGTCTCATGGTTGGTGAGATGGCATTAGAAGGGAGCTAAGTAGGTAGTTATCCGTGGAAGCTTGGTTCTTATTGTAAAGTGCAGTGTCTCTCTGCCAATCCATATATTCTAGTTGTTTGGGGAAAGGAGATGGGAAATACAGTTGCACCCTTGTATAAAGATGGGAGAGTCAAGCCATGTTGTAGCTAGGTTACATTGTTGTTTTAAAAATGATAATCCCAACCATTCTGTTTTACCAATAAAGATTCAGGAGCCTAATGCTGGGGTGAAAACCTGCTAGCTTAGAGAAGCAGAGCAAGCACCTAGCAGACCTTTCTTCTTAGCTCAGGTATGGATGGAAAACAAAACAAAACCAAAACAAAAGGCTCACTAGCTCAACTGATAGCCCAGGAGCAAAGGCCAAAAAACCCAAGGCCAAAGGCTTGCTAGCTCAAAGCCCAAAAAGCCAGGATGCTGAGGAGCTTAAGCCTAAGCTAAAGCCAGCGCTTGAGTGAAAAGTTTTTTTCTACTTCTCCATGCTGTCTTAAATACCTCTCAACTTAAAGTCCCTCCTACTTTTTAATCTCTTGTCAGCTGGTTTCTTACTCTGCCTCTTGACCCAGGGTTAAATTTATTAAATGCAGTATGCAGAAAGCTCTTGGATTAAAGGTGTGTGCTAGGGCTCAAGCACACCATCCAAGAAGCAGGGTTTTATGGTTTGCAATTTTGGGTTCACCGTGGGATCAAATATCCTGCAACACCATATTGTGTAAGTATGTTATAATTCTCCCATCCCATCTCTGAATGGCATGCTCTAGCATCTTTAGTAGACCATATTTGTGTTTTGAGGCTATTTACTCGAAAAAAAAAAAAAAGTCCCTGTTGTTTTATAACAATATATGTAATAAGAAGAGGAAAGTTATGTGAGACATAATGTATTGTTGACAAATAGTGTCAAAAATACGAATGAAGCATAGGTAAGGACCAGGCCTGTGATTGCTGGGATTTTGTGGTCTCTGGAAAAATCGTATTTGAGCAAAGTGCTAATAGAATGAGGTCTGTTGGTTTCTTAGGAGACAAACATCCTACTGGATGCCTTAAGGCCTGGAGTAGGTGCTTTCCTGGTGTGCTTGGAAAGAACATGAAGGCCAGTGAGGCACATTGGATATTTGGGGTGTGCAGAGTTTAGAAGAGCAAGAAGAGTCCTGGTTGTATGGGCTTGAGCTTCACTGAATGAGGTGGTGAGTCAGTATAGATATTTGCACAAACAGCTGCGTGAACCATTCTTCTGAGCCCTCATGAGAGCTGTCTTCACACACTGCCCATCAGGAGTCCCTGTCCTGTCTAATCAGCATTGAGTCCTTCAGCTTGCTTAGACTAGAAACTAGAGAGCATCCTAGTGCCTCCTTTCTCTGACAGACCGCATCCAGTGCATTTACTGGTCCTCTTGACCCCACCATCTTTATTTCTTACCAACTTCACTGTAGAAAGAATCCTAACCTGTGTCCTAGAAGCAACTACTTTTGCCTCCCAAGGACACCCCTTTTTCCTTCCCTCCAAGCCACACTTTCATTGTTCATCCCCAAAACAGTGACTAAAGGGGGGGGGGGCGGTTCTTTTAGCTCCACATAGGCCTGGTCTGTAAACTTTCTTCCTTAAGTGGCAAGATCATAAATCATTGTTCACACTTGCTTAGTTGACACTGAGGTGTGAAAGCAGCCATAGACAAGAGCAAAAGAGTCCCATGTACTCCTAACAAGGATGGGGGTGGGGGGGGCTAGTGCTTGAATAGGCTTTTCAGGGGAGTAGTGTTCCAGGGTTCTGTCTCTGGAACACTGCTTTAATTTGTAAAGTAAGTCTGGGGAGATGGGTCCCTAACAGATGATAGAGCATTCCAGGAGGTCTGTGCTCATTCCTGATGTTGAGAGTTGGAATCTTTTGTTTATTAATCCCACCAAAGCAGAGTGTGTAGTTAAAAAAAAAAAAAATCATCACTGGTCGTAAGCACAGGATGAATTGATGAATGGGAGCTGGGTTTGGCGAAAGGTAAATTATTTCACTAATGTGACCTAGTGCTTAACAGCAAGGGAGTTGCTTTGGGGAACAATAGCAGAAAAAGCTCTAGAGTGTGAGAGGCAGAATGGGGTGAAGTCTTGGGATGGTTCTCATGTCGTGGATGTGGATAGTAGCAAGATTTCAGTCTTAATAACTGTGAAGTGTGGTGGAAGAAGAAGGAAAGGAAGCTGGATGTTGGAAATGTGGGTCTAAAGTTTTAAAATGACATCATACTGGGGAGATTTAGCCATTTTTCAGATGTGTGTGAAGCAGCTCTGAAATGTCCTAATGCACTTCCAAGAAAGTGAAAGCCAGTTTCTAGGTTTCTATGGCCAATGAGTTCACAGTAAGAATCTTTTTCTGAGGGAAGAATTAGATAGTATTTTGAGTCACTTATGCTTTGAAAACCTCTAGCTTCTAAAGAGAATCTGGCTGCTGGGGCTGGGCCCTTCAAGAAGAAAGCATGGAGTGGGGAGGGGTGGAAAGAGATAAGGAGACTTATATAGGAAGTAGGTTGCTGGCCTGTTGGGAGGAAAAAGATGTCTGGACATCACTGCAGCAAGTGTTTTCTGTGTGCAGCTTCAACTCCTCCAGGAGAGAAACCTTGCAGTTTGAAGCCACTTACACTTCTCCATCCTGCAGAAGATATCCACATAGTCTTCCCCACAGTGGTCCCTTCTGGGCCTTTATTCTGAGGTGGAGCCTTAAGGTAGACGGTCCCTTTTGTGAAAATACTTTGTCTGCAGAACATCTTCTTGTCTGGGCCTTGTGTCCTTTAGAAGTACAGTTGCCTTTTTATCATATCGGCCATATCAGAGATTTCTCTAAAGGCAGCTGTGCTTCCCAGCATCTGAAGTATCTTGATAGCTCCACAGAACACTCTGGATCTTTGGGTTGCAGGAGTTTGTCACTGATATGTAGCCCAGCAGCCACATGTTCTAGAACATCAGCAGTCAAGAAAACCAATGTGGTGCCTTACTGTGACGATGCCATGTAAATCAGGCAAGCATTGAGTTACATAGATTAGGTTAAGCGAGGGGATTGGTTATTGGAAGTCACTTTCCTTTTGGGGAACATTTGAAACTCTGCACTTTGCATTAGAGTTGGTCAGCATATAAAAGCTGCAGATACTCCTCAGAACAGGAAACTGCTCAGAATTATTTTACTTAAAAGATCCTCAACTTGTAGAAGCTCCAGGAGCAGAAAATGTGATTGCTGAGAGAACAGTGTTCAGAGCGCATCCCCTCCATTTTCTAGAACTATTGAGCAGTGGATCCTACCTGCACACAGGATTGTGGGCTCAAAGAGACCCAGAGGGCCTCTCCACTCTCATACTGTGCAAATCTCACTATTCAGAGAGTTCTGTTCCAAATAACAAATAAACCTGGGTTGAAAGAGGAGAGAAAAATGTTCAATCAGGAACACTGCAGTGCCCAACTGTGATACTAGGATCTCTGGCTCTTCACACCGACATACACACAGGCCTTGGGGGTAGTTGCAGAAGGGGCAGAAACAGGTAACTTGGAAGGCTTTCCTTTCTGGCTAGGACACTGGTTCTCAACCTTCCTAAGGTTGAGACCCTTTAATACAGTTTCTCATACTGTGTGACCACCCAAACATATATATATATTGCTATTTTGTAACAGTAATTTTGCTAATATTATGAATCTTAATGGAAACATCTGTGTTTTACAATAACCTTTAGGTGACCCCTATGGACAGGTCATTTGACCCCACAAAGGGATCTCAACCCACAAGTTGAGATTCTAGATGTTTTGTGGTTTTAAAGTTATTTTTCCTCAGTTTATTTCTCTAAGCCAGGGTTATATATAGTCAATCTTGAGATAGAGAACACTGTATATATTGTTTTATCATGATAACTTGCAGCCTTGCCCATACCATCTTTCCAAAAGACACTACTTTTTTTTTAAGGCACTGTTTTTTTTTTTTTTTGTTTTGTTTTTTGTTTTTTTTTTTTTTAATAATTTGTTTTATTTTGTGTGAAGGTGTCAGATTCCTTGGAATTGGTGGTACAGACAGTTGTGAGCTGCCATGTGGGTGCTGGGAATTGAACCCGGGTCCATTTGGAAGAGCAGATAGTGCTCTTAACCAGTGAGCCATCTCTCCAGCCCCAAGACATTACTTGCTTACATTATGTAAATTTTTATAATGAAGCATCTTGTCCTTAGTAAATTTGTTACTTGTTTTTTTAGTTGAAGACATTTAGCCTGGCTTTCTAATCTTGGAAATTGAGGGTGGTGCACTTCTGTTGGCCTCTGTCTCTGCACCCATTCCTGCCTATCCTCTTAGGTGCAGGACTTCATTTGGTGCGCTTAAGATTGTGGTCACAGGTTAATTTGGAGGTATGCTCTAATGTAGATTATTGCATTTGCATTCCTTCATGGATTCTTTTTTTCTTTGCCCCCCCCCCCCCAATTGCTATCTATTTTTAAAAACAGGATTATATAGCTGGCCCAGGCTGCTCAGGAACTTACTATGTAGCCCCTGATTCTCCCACCACTACCTCCAAGGGCTGAGGTTACAGCTGTACCACCACCACACCCTGGTTAGGAATGGGATTCTAATTTTAGTTTTTCTTGCTGTTGTGACAAAGCACTTAGCAAAAACAGGTTAAGGAGCATTAGTCTTGGCTCATGGTTGGCGGGGGTACAGTCCATGGGGTGAGACCAGCAACAGAAGTGTGAGCATATGCACACTGCAGCAGGAGTCAGGAAGCTGGAGCTGACTTGTGCTCAGCTTGCGTACTCCTGCTCATTCAGTTGGAAGCCTTGGCCATGGGACAGTGCTCCCACATCCACAACAGGCCTACCTCCTTGGCTAAACCTCCCCGGAAAGCCCCTCACAGACACTCCCACTTCCCAGGTAATCCAAATCTCATTGCTTTCATTGTAAGTAGTGAGTGCCTTAGCCATTCATCCTTTAGTGAGCATAAGCTTATGTTTCTGTTTGTAGTGCGAACAGGGCTGCTGTAAATAGTACCATGAACTTGCCATGGGCATGTGTTTTCTGTTCTTCTGAGTGTGTGCCAGGAGTGTGATGCTTAGTCCTGTGGCAGCAGCTTAGTGTTCTCATCAGCTGTGATTGGGAGTCAGTTTTTCACATCCTCATCAGTACTGGCTGTTCCTTTCTGTTTTAGGCGTCCCAGTAAGTGTTTCTTTGGTTTTCTGAGTGCTCTCAGTGTCCGATTAACCATCACAAGGCTTCTCCACCATGCCATCATTTATCTCATGTTAGTGCCTTTGAGATTTTCTTGCTGCTTTCGTTTACTTTAAGTCAGGCTTTGGTCTTCCTTTTTCCATTCATTGTAGTTTAGGTTTAGAAATCTTTGGTAGTTAATTAAGAGCTAGGGAGAACCCTATGCTACTTCCCAGCTGAGTGTGTGGGGCCTTTTGGACTGTTGTGTGACAGTGTGGCTCAGTCATTTATTGATGGAGGAATAGCTGATACCAGCACTTGGATCTTATCCCATTCTCCCTGGAGGACAGAGGACTGGGGTGACACACGGCCATTCTCAGATTAGTTTGCTCAGGTTACCTCACTCCATGCTCTGAGTCATCGTGGGTCAGCACTCCTCCCTCAAGTGTGTTTGGTCCATGTTGGTAAGACAGGCTTCCCGCTGGATGGCAGAGAAACACTTTCCCTCACAGAATGGAAAGGGGATCTGGCACCCAAGCTCAGTAGTGGGTGGGTAGTGCTGTCGAGGGGGCCTCTGGATGCTACAGTTTTGCACACAGAATGTCCAAGAGAATCTGTTGGTCCACTGTTGCCACTCCTGGATACTTACTTTGTGCATTGTGTTTTGCAAGCTTTTGCATCTATTTGTAAGTGGCATTGTTGTAAAATGAACAAGTTTGTTTCAATCAATAAATAGAAATAGTTATATTTTTTCACATGTGTAAGACCCACTTGAGCAACAGCAAAGCTGGCATTCCTGCAGGTGACAGAAACTGACTTAGTTTTGGGGAAGTGTCTAAGCAGGATTCTTACATACAAGTAGTCACAACTACAAGGACAGAGCTGGAAACATGCCCTCTGTCCCTGCAGTACAGTTTGAGTTTGGAGTAGGAGCTGAGAAGTACATCTTTGCTATCTAAAATTGTGTTCTCTAGTGCCATAAATGTAGTATAGTCCACATTCAAGTTAATTTCCTCCTGCTGATGCACTTGCCCTCTTTGAATTGGTGAACCAGGTTTGCTTGTGTTAGATATCTTGGGCTTTTTGTTTCTGACTGCATCAAACTTACCAAGTTGGTATTAAATGCATAGTGTCTGGTGCCATATAGAAATGTGAAATGTTGGTACTGTGTGCTTTCCTCTGCTTTGACAGTGTGTAGGGGTCTTCCTAAACCACTACACATGACTGTAGTCCACGTATAAAGTGTGTAGTATACAATGAAAGGCTTCCATGTTGCCAGCTGAATGTGCAGGTACTGCTGAAGAGTCCATTTGTCATCTTTTGATATAAATTTTGGGAGTCTGCATGCATAAGAATAAATCCTAGAAGAGTTACAGACATAAATATGAAAAAAAGAGCATGCGAGTGCTAGATGGCATAAAATAATTCTCATTTTTATATGAGGAAGAGCCTTCTGATTTGTTTCTGAAAAGAAAGCCTTAGCACACACTCAGACATTCTCAGCTGTGTCAGTATTGAGACACTTCTGATTGGTGCATGAGTGTCCTTGAATGGTTATTTAGCAAGCATGCATATGTGCAGCATTTGGTGAGAGGCTGCTACCTATCAAATACTCTAGCTTACAGTGCAGCTGTAGCACCATGTAAGTGTTACAATAAAAGGCTGTTAGGAAAAAAGAAAGAAGGCCTACAAGTGCCTGAGAAGACCCCTCATCACTGATGAGGGCAAGGGGAGGGGCTGGGAGACAGCTCTTGCCAGGAGTGGGCTTTCTGCACATACCTGGTAATCAGAACTTTATCCATTGAGCCCATTCAAGGTGAGGGAACTAAGTTGACCTCTGACCTCAACACACATGCCACACACACAATAAATTAGTAAATAAATGTTAACAAATATTCATAAGACTGTCCAAGATCACAGCTGTAGAGAAGCGTCTCAAGCAAGGAAATCTGTTGCTTGCTGCCAGGAAAGATTGAACAGGACCCGTGCTCTTCAGAAGAGAACTGGGACATTGATCCCACTGAGAAAGTTGACAAAAAGCTAAGATATGTGGAGAGTGCAGGACCTGCACTTTCACTTCTTCAGTTCTAGCCTGGGCTCTTGTATTTTAGCTGGTATGTACATGTAGGTACAAAAAGAGACAGACACTGAGGGATGCATTACTCTTCTATTCTGCATCCTCTGGATTGACTAGAGCTGAGCTTTGAGATAGGAGAGGTGGGGTTAGGACCTGTCTGTGAGAAGCTACAAAGCATCTGTGGTATATTTAAGACAGTGCTGTTAGTCTTGAATTTTTTACTGGTTAGAAAATTGGCATTTAAAGAAGTCATCTAAAGAGAAGAAAAGTCTGTGTTTCACCTGCTGGGAACATCTGGACAGTGTAAGTAATAATGCTTTGATCTTTGGTTTCCTAACAGGATTTAGAACCTCCTTGTGAGTGGTCTCTGTAGTGTAATACAGGTCCTCACAAAATGACTTTTTAAGGTAATCTTGACCCATTATAATATTTGATCTGTCGTGTTATCTGAAATTTTGTTTTGCTGTGTTTTTCTGACAGTTTCTATGTTCTGCTGAGTAGGAAGTCAGTAACTTGTTACTGCCCTATGACCTCAGTGTGAAGGGTCATTGAAGTTCTCATAAGGGGTGAGGGGCTGGGGCTGCGGAGGAGTCGCATAGTGCACAAGGAGATTTGCCTGTTTCTGTGCATGTAGTAAGTTCTAGGACAGTTACATGTAATGAAATGGCATAAAAACATAAATAGCTGACTGTAGCTTTTTTTCTTTCAGAACTTAAATGAATATGTTGAAGCATTAATTGCCTTGAAACAAAAAATTATAAATACAGAGTAAGTATATCTGCATGTTGGAAGACTTTGCCAGCCTGTCCAGCTGGTTGAAGTGGGTGGGGGTTTGGAGCCCACAATGTACCCAATGGTACCGGCTAGGGGGGAACTCCTGAATTCCTTGCTTTATTGGCTCACAGGCCTTTAGTAGAAAAATATTTTGCCAGATTAGATTTTTGTTTGTTTGTATGTATGTTTGTTTTTTTGAGATGGGGTTTCTCTTTGTAGCCTTGGCTGTCCTGGACTCGCTATGTCGACCAGGTTGGCCTCCAACTCACAAAGATCCGCCTGCCTCTGCCTCTCCAAGTGCTGGGATCACAGGCGTGCACCACCACACCCGGCTGCCAATTGTGGACTTTAAAAGCTGTTTTCTCTAAAATTGTTCTGTATGCTGAGTGTTAAATTCCTTTGCTATTTTATGCTACATTGTGAGAATTAATTATTTTTAATATTCCTTGATAGTCTCATACTTTTAGATGAAAAGCTCATATACCTGTGTAGTGCATCTAGGCATCAAGATGACATCAGCCTAGCATGTGTTTTTTTCTGGGGACCAAAGAGGAGAGGCCACCTCGAGTGATCTGAGCCATAGCTCCTGTGGTACACTTGCCCCGTGACAGGGGAGTCTGACTGCTCTTTTCTCTTTTGCAGTAACTTGCTGACGGAGTATCAGAAGAAATGTGATGATATCCTTCACTTGCTCTTCCCTGTGGATGTCAGCACTGGCTTATGTGCAATGACTCAAAAGATAGGAGGGTCCTCCTTAACTGTTAGCTTTCAAAGGCAGTGTCTTTTGCCTTAATCTCACAAGCATAGTCAACAACAGGCCTTTTAGTGTGCTAGCAATCTGTGTGTTGTGGACATCCTAAAATGAGGCAGTCTAGTGGTCTCTTGTTTCTGTTGCTTGTTTTGATTTTCTTAAGGATGTCAGCGTTTTAATGAACGGATTTTCCTCATATATATGAGTGTGATATCAGGTTTATGGATGCATCAGTGCTTGCTGATTGCTCTCTTTAAGTCTACTAAAAAATAACTGATAACATTGATATGTTTAGGAAATGGATCTTGTTCTTGTTGTAGAGATTTAATGTGTATATCCACAAATTGTACAAGTAATATAATTTTCTATTTGTAACACAATTCTCAGCCTAGATTTTGCCATTGGCTCAGCACGGGTTGAGCAAGCACCATGGTGTAGTTAACACAGATGGTTTTAACAGCCAAAAAAAAAAAAAAAAAAAAAAAAGCTGGTTCTGCCACATCTTTTAGTAACAGCTGCCTTGGGTTAAAATCTCTCTCAAAAGATCATAATAACATTTCTTCCCAAAATATCAACATGCGGCATGTGGAGACTGGGCTCCTTTCCAGGGCCGGGCAGCTGCTGCTGGGCAGATGCACCCTTACAGAGGTCGAGTCCATTGTCTCTGCAGGACTGTGAGGCCACTTAGCTGTTTGTGGCACCTGACGTTGGGGTCACAGATTATTTTGAGCTTCTTTGTAAAGTCTCTGTCAGTGACTATACAGCCTGAATTTCACGTTCAAATAAAAGTCATTGTTCTGTTCCTGCAGGTAATTTATCTGCTGAAGTGTAAAATACAACAGGACTTCAGAAACAGAACCTTCAGTTGAATATAGGCACTGTCTAGAAATAGTTGTCGCAGCTGTTGATAGCGAAATAGTAACAGATGGGAGGCTACGTGTAATTAGAGCAAATCCTTACAGCACTGTTAGAGAAATGATGTAAACTCTTTGGTGATTGCATTTGTAATCTCCTAATAGAGTAAGGGGCCTAATCTTCTAAAATTTCCCTATCAAATTTTAAATAAAAATAAGCCAATTGATTCGTTTTCTTTTGTATTGTGTGGGGGTATGTGTGCACGAGTGCAGCACCCATGCTGGCCAGAGAGGGCATGGGAATGTTCTGGAACTGGAGTTGCAGGTGGCTTTGAACACCTGCTGTAGGTGTTCTGAACTAGAAACTCTGGAAGACCAGTGTCCTTATTCTTAACCACTGAGCCATGTCTCCAACTCCAGAACAGTTCATTTAAAACTTGCAGTTGTTTTTGAGATACAGAGATTTGTTTAATGATGGGAGGTTTGGCTTCAGCTAGAGGAACTAATTTTAAAACGCCTTGGTATTAGTTCCAATATATATTTGTTACAGCTCAGAACTGTAGCTGTCATATCCCTAGGGTGCCAGTGTCCTAGACTTAATGTTGCTTCTTCCTAATTGGACTTGTTGCTGCACCTCTTCTGATGGACCAGAACATACTGTGTGGGTGAGGAGAATGAATGGGAACTTCTTGACCTTAAGAAGTGTAGTTCCAAGTGGCTTTGTGAATACCTAACTTTTGTCTGCAGGACTGTTTGGGAAATGAAGGAAAGTTTGAGGCTTCTAATATGTACAGAAATAAAAGTATTTTCCATCATTATCAGTCTTAGTTCTTATAATTCTAGTCAGTCATTTATCTAAGACTTTAGTAGAGAAATAGATGTTTTGACTTGGGTTCTATTTTATTCACTGTTCTATTGCTGTGAAGAGACGTCATGACCAAAGCAACTCTTATAAAAGAAAACATTTCATTGGAGGCTTGCATTCAGTTTCAGAGGTTTAGTCTATTAGTATCATGGCAAGGAGTATGGTGGCGTGAAGGCAGGCACTGGGGCAGTAGCTGAGAGCTACATCCTGATCTGGAGGCAGAGGGTGAGGGAGAGAGAAGGCAAGAGAGATATGCTGGCCTAGTGTGAGCTTTTTGAAACCTCCACAACCACCCCAGTGACACACCTTCTCCACAAAGTTACACCTCCTAACCCTTCTAATCCTCAAATAAATCTACCCCTGGTGACTAAGCATTCAGACACATGAACCTGTAGGTGCCATTGTTATTCGCAGCACCATGGGTTTGTACATTGGTAAGTAGGGCTGATGCACTCAGCACTGTTAGAGGTGGGCATGTGTGTACTGTGTAGCATTATGGTCCTGCCCAGGTGTACATGATTTACTGTATAGTAGATTTTATCTCCAGACAGATAGCAGAAGATGAAGGTTCTGAGTTTTCTTTAACAAGTTTTACAGCTGCAGTTTGCGAGAAGGTGAGCTGGCTGGCTTCTGTAGCTGCTGCTAATAGCTGTTTTAATTCTTGGGTAGGGTGGATGTTTTGCAGGCCAGAGCCTAGCTAGACTTGCCTTGGATTAAACTGCTTTGGATGCTCCCTTGCAAGCAGATCTGCATTGTCCTATTGGATGGCTCAAATGTATTATTGCGTAGGTTTCAAACTGCATCCTGGTAGTTTGCGTCAGGAACTGCTGACCGCAGTGTGAGCCAAAGCGGAAGCTCTCCTATTGCTTTTGCCCACACAGTTACCCTGTGCAATTCCATTCATCTTATGTTGTTCATAACAAAACAAAGCCACCAAAATTGTCATGATGTTTTATGTTTTGACTACAGTTATCCCTTAGAAGCCAACATGGGGTTATAAATTAGATTACAAGATGCTCTATCACTTAATTGGAACAAATAGGGAGAAAGATGAAGATTATAGGTGCCAGCTGTTTGATACCCTGTCCTCAGACAGCTTCTCCTGTGTATTGATGTCTGTTGGACTAGTTTCCCATGTTGCTTTTTGATAGTTTCACTGAAAAGATTGTTATTCCCCAAAGATAAAGAACATCTGATGTTTAGTGTGAGGGTAAGAATGCATTTAAAGTTTCCATCTATTGACACACTCTAGTTGATTCTGCTCAGTGATACCAGTGTCTTATCCATTTTCAGAGAGAACAGCACACTGCATCACCAAGTGGAGCAGATGCTTCAGAAAATCTCCCCTCTGCAGAAGTGCCAAGAAGAACTGGGATCCTTAAAAGCTGAGCTAGAGGAGAAAAAGGTGCCTGGAGCCACTTTCCTATGGAGGGTCATCGTCAGTCTTCAGGATCAGCCCCTGCACTTGCTGCTTGGGATGGAGGAACATTTACATGTTAGCAAAGGAAGCGAGTGTTAGTGGAAACCTTCTGTGTCTCTTTTGTGTACTCCACTCTGGCCGATGTGTGGCTTTGCAGTGGTTTCTGAGACTCCTCACAACAGTTGAGAGGGCTGGGTGTGAATTGTTGTGGCGTTTATGTTCTCTGAGTAGTTGGTGTTTTTTAATTTCAAATATTTTTCATAACTTAAGTGGGAAATAAAATGTGTAGACATTCAGAATTAGTGATAGGAGATTCATTGTGTGATAGTTTGAGGGCAATTGGATTTTCTTAGTGCTGGTATAGCCTCAGCTCAGCTTTCAGGGCCTCTGCTCTGGTAGAGTTCACATGCCCTTTGCAGACCTCTCCTGGATCTTGAGCCAGTTCATATGAATGGTCTTGACAGCGTGGTTTGCTGTTTTGGTTACTGTACTCAGTAACTGTAGTTTCTGAGGGGTCATGAGGGCCAAAGAGACCAGCTTTTATTCACATGTCACAAGCTCTTACAGGTGTTTGGTCCCTTATCTGAGGGAGGTGGAGCCTTGAGAGAAAATACTTAGGATAAGAAACTGATACTTTGGCCTCTCGTGGCTCTTTTCTTCAAAGTCAAGCCCATGAAACAGCTCCAGGTGTTGTAAATGCTTTCCTTTGTGAGTGTTAGTGTCCTTTAGTGGGGTCCTAGGAGTGTGTCTGTGGAGTTTGGATGTCGAAGCATCTATAGCCTCGAGGCAGGGTCTGTCCTAAGAGGAGGCGAAGCTGTGTGGTTATCCCAAACTGTGTCCCTGATGGCTCTTTACGGGAAGATTGCTGCTGTCCATTACTCACCAAGTTGTGGTCTGAGCAGTGACATGCAGTTGTCTGGCTTTTCGTACTGTATGACGGTACATGTTTCTCTAGGAATTTTTTTGTGGCTTAACTGCAGTGAAGGTTAAGGAGCCCATCACAGTGTTCAGTCTTTATGTAGGATTCTTGGTCATGTAATGTCCACAGTATGTCCTCAAGGAAGCCTCGGTGGTAGGCCCTCTTAGACACTCAGGGACCATGACTTGCAGGAATAAGCCACCCAGTCAAATCCTTTGTGAAGAAGGCTGATGAAGCTCCAGAGAAATGCTGTGTACAGACCACATCATGGACAGTGTCTTCCCAGCCCAGAGGGTCATCATGGTGGATAAGTCAGTGCTCATATATTTTCCCAGTTAATATTGATTAGCAACTTGTTTTCCGTTTCCTGACAATAACAACATACCAAGATCAGCTAGATTCTGTTACTGTAGCTGCTGAGATGAACATATTAGCTGGTTGGTATTTAAGCTAATGGGTTGCAGATTGTAATTGAGTAGCTTTTGCTCTTCACTACCGTCAGCAGTGTTGTCTGTTAGGAACCTAGCCTGCTCATGGAAGTCTTGAGGGCTTCTGGGCCTTGCTGATGACTCTGGCTGGGTGTTCAGTTAGTATTGTGCTATAGAGAATTTAGCTCATGGGAAAGCAGGTGAGGACCATGGTCAGTGACTGTTGAGGGTGATGTTTTGTTTCCTGTCTCCTTGTTAGAGTTCTCTCAAGCTGTATCAGAACACTCACCAAGAATATGCTCGTGTGAAAGAAGAATGCTTGAAAAGTGATGCCCAGTAAGTGGTTTCCTGTTGAGAGGGGCTTCCATCCTTGAGACTAGAACATTTGCAAATAATGGTGCTGTCTCTTTCCCTCCCTCCCTCCCTCCCTCCCCCCCTCCCCCCCCCCCCCCTTCCTTCCTTCCTTCCTTCCTTCCTTCCTTCCTTCCTTCCTTCCTTCCTTCCTTCCTTCCTTCCTTCTTCTGTTTCTTTATTGTTTGTAATTACTTAGCTGTGAAAACGGGCTAATCTCAGAGCCACAGTTTTCACAGCTAGTCCTGATGGGCTACTTTGTCATGCCTAAGCTGCACCTGTGCATCCTGAAATGCAGCCATGGGCCTCCTGTCTTTGCACTAGTCCTTTATAGGCATCATCTGTTGGTGGCGTCTCACTGCAGGGCAGCTTTTGTTGCCGTTTCTAAAATTAAAAGTGTCTTGCTAATTTCACCGCTCACACAGTTGTATGTGCCACTGTTTGTGAGGCTGTGACATGGCCATGTTTCAGAGACTTTCTTGAACTTCCTGCTCTCTTTACTCTCAGAAATCCATCTTGGAGCAAGGGCAGCCTCTACCTGCTGTTCCCCTTGCTCACTTGCATGCTCTTGAACAGTGCCTGGTGGGTTAGGGGCTGGTGACCTGAGGAGATAGATCATTTGGTCACAGCCCAGGGATGACATTTACTGTCCCAAAGGGGAGTTCTCACATGTGTTTTTGGCAAAGACTCAATAGGCCCATTTTTTGTTTCTCAAACAGAAGTCAGGATTTAAAAAACCCATTTTACAAATACTGTACATTAAATGGGTTAGTGTTCTTAGGCTTGTTCACAAGATCAATTGCTTGGAATTTAGTTGACATGTGATACTAGTTGAGAGTGAAAATCTCTTTATATGAGTCTTAGTACTTAGAAAACTGTGATGAACTGTATTTCTTTTGCCATCTGACTAAGGAGGTTTTATCGTTAGGAAGAAGAAACTAGAAGCTAAGGTGAAGAAGCTGGAAGGTAAGTGCAGCTGTTGTTTTCTGGCCAGCAGAGCCATGTCATTATTCAGACCTGAGACCTGTGGTAAGTGTGAGGCTGTGAGTTGTCAGTGGGCATGGTTGGTGTGTGGACATGAGTGTGTGCTGGTGCTCAGGTTAATTTTCTTCTCTGTTACCCATTGCTGTAAACAGGCAGCATGGAAGGACATGCAGTGATTGAATTTTAGGTATTTCTTTCTTTTTTCCAATTGAAGTTGGTGATTACTAGAAGAGGTTGCCATTTCATGTGTTCTCTTAGTCAAGGTTTTCATTGCTGTGACAAAAGCACCTTGGGGTGGAAAGGGTTTATTTGTCTTGTGTATCATAATCCATTGTGGGAAGCCAAGGCAGGAGCTCTAATCAGAACAGGAACTTGGAGCCCGGAACTGATGCAGAGGCCATGGACAGGGACTGCTCACTGGCTTGCTCCTTGTGGCTTATTCAGCCTACTTATAGAAAACCAGGACCTCCACCACTGGGATGTCACCACCCACAGTGGTCTGGACCCTCCTCCCACATTAATCACTAATTAAGAAAATGCCCTAAAGGCTTGCCTGCAGCTTGATCTTGGAGTTAATGTCAAGGAACTGCTGTACACAGATAGTTCTGGCATACAGAGAAGTCTATGAAGCACCCCACCTGGTCCTTTCTCACGCCAACAGTTGTATTTGGGCCACAGCTGTGTTGTCACTGTCTCTGCCCAGCATGTTCAGTGTACACCTACATGGACTCCCAGAAGCACAGTGGTTGTGTTCTGCTTCACAGGGAGGTGTTTCCATATAAGGTGTGGATGTAGGAGCTCAAATTTAGTTGCAAAAGGGCATTTAAAACAAAGAGTGGATAAAGTACTCCGCAGTTTACATTCAAACTGTACAGACAGTTGGCTAATATCCGTCTTGTGAACACTGGCAGGCACCAGGTGCATGACTGTGCTCTCAGCCTGTCCTCTCTTGCCTGTGGAGATGGGAGCAATGCATGAGAGGATGTGTGCAACTTTGAGAGCAGACCTTCTGTGAAGTCAGATGTGGCCTTTATTTTTAACGTAACAATAGTAGTTTCCCTAGAAATTGGTAGGACATAATGACAGTGCTGAGGATAGTCAAAATCAGAGAAAAAAAGAACTCTTCTTGGTGCCTTGCAAGAATTGGCTTTCCCCTGCAGTGGTGCATGCACAGGTCTTTGTGCTGTCAGTTCTGGTTAGATTCTTACTGATATGTGCATTATTTCAATGATTTGCTCACAGTCTAAATCTCTGCACACTGTCCCTAGCCAGCCGGAGTGTTGCATGGAAGGATTTAGAGTTGCTATGCCTGATATAGAAAGGATCCTCACAGCCTTAGTCAGCTCAGTAGCTTCATGAGTAGGCACTGTCTGTGACATGGAGAAAATCTTGCACCAGATTGCTTTTGGTTGGGTCACTAACCCACCCATCTTTCTGTTGCTTTGCTGTACCTGTTAAACATAGAGGCTGCTGTCAAGCAAACTCAGGACTTCAAGCAATTGAGAAATGAAAAGAAAATACTTGAAAAGGAGTTTAAGAAGACACAGGTACTGGGTAAAATGATGCACACACTTTACACCCTGACTGGGCTTCTGTGGACACAGGTACTGGGTAAAAGATACACACACTTTACATCCATGACTTTGGGCCTCTGTGGCATCCAAATTGTGACTACTGTCACTGTGTGTTACCTTGCACCTGTCTGACCTTTGCCCCAGTGTCTGCTTCTGTACAGCATAAGCACTCTTGGTGTTTCTCCCCCACCCCCACAGGAAAGGCTTGATGAATTTTCCAAACAGAAAAACGAGAGGGGTGAGTATTCAGTTAATGCTTATGTGCGAGCCAGTTGTAATGTGCAGTGTTCATTTCAAACCCTTCTCTGTATGTGTTTTTAGAGTTGAGACATATTGGAACACAGATCTCAAGTGACTCGCACGGAAGCATAGATAAAAGTGAGTATGCTGCCAGTTGTGCTTGGCTTTGTGCGTTGTTTATTGTGGTTGGCAGCTCATGTGCCGCTCAACCAAACTTAACCTAACTGTAAAAATATGGCTTTGTAGATATTTTATTATTTATGTAAGTCTCAGCAAATAACTGTCTAGATTATATAGCCAATCAGATTAATTCATTAATTAAGCTTCCTTGGTGCCCGAGTAGTGCTAAGTCAGGTAGGGAATTGCGGCAACAGCTCTGCAGTATTTTCTGGGGACAGTCCAGTGAGGAGGCCGTATATGACAAGTCAAGCAGTGCTGGTCACAGAACACAGCAGGACAGACAGAGTGTGCATGCCTCTGTCAGTAGCTGTGAGCAGGCCTGCCTGCAGGTGACTAGGACTTTGTATCCAGATACTCTATGGATTTTTTTGGTCCTCAGCTGCTTGTGCTTGCCTTTTCTTTCTGGTCTGTTTTAAAAATGGAGATATGACTTTGAATTTGTGTTCTTACATATTGGAAGTGGGTTCTTTTGTTTGTTTTTTGAAAATAAAATTAAAATGCTACAATAGTGGATGAAGGTATTTAAGTTTCATGAAGACTTAGCTTTTGTCAAAGTATAAACTGAGGAGTGAAGTCAAGTGCACAGTGTCTCAGTAACTCCATTTTCCCCACCCCATTTTTTTAAATTTTTTTAATTTTAGTTTTTATTAATTACATATTATTCACTTTGTATGCCCCCATAGCTCTCTTCCCCCCTCCCCTCCCAATTCTACCCTCCTTTCCCCTTCTCCACACATGCCTCTCCCCAAGTCCACTGATAGGGGAGGTCCTCCTCTCCTTCCTTCTGACCCTCGCCTATCAGGTCTCATCAGGAGTGGCTGCATTGTCTTCCTCTGTTGCCTGTCAAGGCTGCTCCCCCCTTAGGGGGAGGTGATCAAAGAGCAGGACAATCAGTTTATGTCAGAGACAGTCCCTGTTCCTATTACTATGGAACCTACTTGGACACTGAACTGCCATGGGCTACATCTGTGCAGGGGTCCTAGGTTATATCCATGAATGGTCCTTGGTTGGAGTGTCAGTCTCAGAAAAGACCCTTATGCCCAGATTTCTTGGTTCTGTTGCTCTCTTTATGGAGCTCCTGCCCTCTCCTGCCTTGGGATTAGGCAGTGGGTCTTAATATCTCCCCCTTCTTTCATAAGATTCCCTGCACTCTGCCCAAAGGTTGGCCATAAGTCTCAGGATCTGCTTTGATACCCTGTAGGGTAGAGCCTTTCAGAGGACCTCTGTGTCAGGCTCCTGACTTTTTCCCTGTTTTCTCCTTCTTCTGATGTCCATCCTCTTTGCCTTTCTGAATGGGGATTGAGCATTTTAGCCAGAGTCCACCTTCTTGATTAGTTTCTTTAGGTGTACAGATTTTAGTAGGTTCATCCTATATTATATGTCTAATATCCACTTATGAGTGAGTGTATACCCTGTGTGTCTTTCTGCTTCTGAGATGCCTCACTCAGGATGATCTTTTCCAGTTCCTACCAAAGACTTCCTACAGATTGGGAAAGGCTCTTCACCAACCTATATCTGACACAGGGCTAATATCCAGTATATATAAAGAACTAAAGAAGCTGAAAAGCAACAAACCAAGTAATTCAATTAAAAAAATGGGGAACAGAGCTAAACAGAGAATTCTCTGTAGAGGAATATAGAATAGCAGAGAAATACTTAAATGCTCAATGTCATTAGCCATCAGGGAAATACAAATCAAAACGACCCTGAGATTTCACCTTACACCCATCAGAATGGCCAAGATCAAAAACTTAAGTGACTACACTTGCTGGAGAAGTTGTGGAGAAAGGGAAACCCTCCTCCTCTTGTGGTAGGAATGTATACTTATACAACCACTCTGGAAATCAATCTGGCGCTTTCTCAGACAATTAGGAATAGCGCTTTCTCAAGATCCAGCCATACCATTCCTAGGCATATATTCAAAATATGCTCAAGTACACAATAAGGACATTTGCTCAACCATGTTTGTAGGAGCTTTATTTGTAATAGCCAGTATCTGGGAACAACCCAGATGCCTTCAACTGAGGAATGGATACAGAAATTGTGGTACGTCTACACAATGGAATATTACTCAGCAATTAAAAACAAGGAAATGTTTTTTTTTTTTTTTCTTTTGATTCAGAAAATAAATTCCTGTTTCTCCTAGCCTTGGGATTAGGCAGTGGGTGCTGATAAGAATGGTTCATGGAGCTCTCATTCTTTGACGGCCCTCTCCTACCTGGTGTAGAGAGCAGGGTCTCACAGGCATTGCTGAGGTCTGGCTGGCTTCACCTTCCCAGCCAGTTGTCCACCATTGAGGTTAATTGTCTTCCCTTCTGTAGCAGCAGTCTGTGTGCCATCTTTTCTGCTGAAAAGGACTCCATGCCTCTTACAGTGGTTCTCCGTCATTACATCCTGGCTTTCTAAAATGTCTTAAGCTTCAAAGAACTTGTTATTTTTTCCAAATAATTTTATGTTGTGTTTTGTATCTTCCTTGTTGATGAGAATGGGAATATTGTGTATTGTAAATTTTTTTCAATTAAATAGATAAATGTCAGCTGTGCACCTTGTTGCATTTATTTCCTAATTCTTAACTGTTCCCTTAGTGGTTTTTCCAATTAATGCTTGGCTTTAGGAAGTAATTGACAAGTTTGGCACTGAGAGGACTGAATTGAATTTCCTTTACAAAAGGCCTCCCAGGACCACCTTTTTCCTACTAAGTTCCAGTAAAAAAACAAACAAAAACAAAACAAAACAAAAAAAACCCTTACTTTAAATCGAAACAAAACTATGTTCCTGAGCCTGATGCTGTAATTCAGCATTTAGAATGTCATGAATAAGCATCTTGAATCTGAAGCCACCTTGGCTATCGATACATTGTCTCCAAAAAACAGAAGTAGCTTCCTGACAATGACCTTTTTACAGGGGTCAGCGCTTGCTTGAGACCATTGGAAAATACAGATGTTTACATAAATTAATAACAGCAAAATTATAGTTATGAAGTAGCAATGAAAGTAATTTTATGGTTGAAGTCACCACAACATGAGGAACTCTATTAGAGTGTTGGAACGTTAGAACCACTGCTTTAGATTTTTAGCATCTATAGAGAACAGAGTTTCGAAGGTCACTTTTCCAAACCAGAGGAACAGAGCACTAATGTTCTGCAAATAACTGATTAAAGGGGAGGATGAATCAGCCGGACAGCTTTAGAAACTGTTGCTTGAGTTTTTTTTTTTTTTTTTTTTTTTTTTCCAGAACCTCCAGGTGTAGTTTGTTAAAGTGTGAGCTCTGAGAATTGTTAGAGGTGAAATAGTTGTGTAGGTAATGGCTGCTTTGAGGGCTGTCTGCTTGTGCCTCACCCCAGTAAGATATTTATACAGACTGTTTAAATTCTCATAAACAGGCCTGCTCACCGGCCTTCCACAAGGTTCATGAAAGGAGAACCTGCAGTGTTTGACAGATAGTAAACTCAGAGTGTAGGAAAGAAAGGAAACTTTGTCTGCTGCCAGTGTCTGCCTAAACCCTTCACTAAAACTTAGAAAAATAGATAATAAAACTTAGAAAAATTTGTGAGAGAAAAAGCCCACAAATTCTGGAAGCTTGAAGAACAGTATTAAGTCATGAGTAAGAGAAACCCTCCATCCCGTTGGTACCTTGAGCATGTTCAGGAGCATGCCCACTGGCATCACATGAGGTGGTCAACCTGAAGAGTTAAAGCCCAGCTGCCTACATGAAGTGTTGGCTGCACTAATAGGTCCATTTCCTAACCTGGGAAATGAAGTGTGGGATCTCTGAGAATGTTCTGCAAAGGGACAGCGTGAAAGATGGCAGAGACACAGATGCCCAGGAAAAAGAGGCCAGCAGTCTCAGCATTCATCTGCTAGAAGGTTTTAGAGGGGTGAATAGATCTTGGAGGAATAATCCGCAAGGGAGAAAATGAAAGTTCCCGAGCATAAAGCACAGGGAGTGTGTGTTGACACACAGGGCAGAGCACATCTCTAGCATGCTAGGAAGACCAGTGCCTTGGGTCAGTGAAGCAGAATGTGGAATACATGGGGCTGACTTACGACAGGCACAGCAGTGCCTGTGAGAGTGGTAAGGCCAGGAGGAAGTCCCAGTTCAGAACCCTCCTGTAGAGTAAAGCACTCAGAATGCTGGGGAGATGATCAGTGCTGTCTTTTGAGAAAATACTGCTGCCCTGTGCCCATGCACATGGAATTATGCCAGACAAAGCTCCCAGGGATTCTTGAGGAAATGGCCCAGTCTTCACAGCAAAACTTCCATGTGTCTTTGAAAGGAGTTGAGGTTTAGAGAGGCTAAAGAGGCAACTATCAGAGTGTCCATTTGGGTTGACTGTGTAAATCACATACCCAGAGTTCCTTAGAACATCTTTTAAAACTTCGTGAAGGTTGGCTAATAGAGTCAAACACATGAAGGTGATATTGATAAAAAGTCTCTCCTCCCTTAAGTCAATAAAAGCGGAAAACGACGGCTACGATGATTGTGCCTATGCCTGTGCCGGCTCTGCACACCGCAGCTTCTGCTCCCAGTGTACTCAGGTGTGGAAAGTAGATGACAGGTCACTTTTCAGGAGATCATTTTTTTCTGGCCAAAGAATGTTCAGAACCGTCAGGTGTCTGGAGAAAGACCTAAAGCAATGCATAGCGTCATAGGAGAACGAGGATAGAGCATAAAAATGTCAGCCATGCTTAAACATATTTATAACTGGTGTTGCTTGAGCTCAGCAGGTACTGAACAGTGGAAGTTTGGCAGGAGGAGTGGCTGTCAGAGCAGTAAACTTCCTTAAAGGAAGAGCTGAGCAGGACCTTGCTCTAGCCACACTCTTATATACTCATCATAAATACAGAAGGTGCTCCTGATACAAAGTGACACTGGAGTGGAAAAGTCAGAAAGAGTTGTAAGTACCTTAGATTGTAATAAAAGAAGAAACCCTTCAGAGATTAAACATAGATGCAGTCACAACTAAGTCAGCGCTGTACTGACAATTTTTCCCTGCTTGTTGGAAAGGTCTAGGCATAGGGGCATTCATGAAAAGGCTCATGTGCTCCATGCATTGTGACTGTCCTCCAGAAGGGTGAAAAAAACATGCTTTCTTTGTCTTTAGTATTCTGTGTGTTCTGCTTGGGGTATGTGTACTGAGTAGGGACCATCGTCAGGTCATTTAAACAAAGGGGATTACAGTTTGGAAACAAGCTCTGGATTAGGTTAAATTATATTTCAGATGATCTTCTTAGCCGCAGGGTTTAGAACTCAGACTCCTGGGGTCTCAAGATAATGGGGTTGACCTGGAATAGGACAGGTGGGGACCCAACTGTACAGATTTCCTTGTAACTATGTTAACTGTGCTTGTCTTGATGTCCCCACATGTGTACTTCATTTTGGGGTGACATGGTTTAGTATCTTAATATGATTGCACTGTGTTAAAACCTGTGGCTGATTTCCTGGAGATTTTAATATGAAAGGTTGATCTGTTCCATATTCTCTTGACCTGGGTTAAAGGTTTTACCCATCTCACCTGTATACAGTGGTGCACGCCTGTAATCCCAGCACTCAGGGAGGCAGAGGTAGGTGAATCACTGTGAGTTCAAGGACAGCCTGATCTACAAAGTGAGTCCAGGACAGCCAAGGCTACACAGAGAAACCAGTTTCAAAAAAAAAAAAAAAAAACAATACAAGAAAAAAAGTATTACCTATTTCAATAAAGCTTACTTTAGAAACTTAGGTTTAAAGACACTATTAGAGAACTTTGATTTGGCCTCAAAATTGTTTCACGTTGAAATTTAATGAGTCTGGGTTTTTTTTTTTTTTTTTTTAATCCATGCTTCACCTCAAGTTCCTTATGCTTTTATTTTTATGACTATAAAAATTTTGCTTTGATGGGTATTTGTGAAGTCTGTGTATTTTAATGAGTTCAGACCCTTTACCCCTGATACTATGCTCTCCTTCTGCCTCTTTGGCTTCCATTTCCCCTTGTTCTCTCAGCTTGGGTCAATTGTTCTGTAGCAGTTTGAGAGTTCCGATGTGTTTGGAACTTTACTCCTGCCCACTGCTGCGGGTGCCTTCTGCAGGCATTAGAAGCACACTGTCCACCTCTCCCCTCCTGTGCATCAGTCCTCTGCGTAGTGGTACGTGGTTGTCTGGTGCCTCTGCGGAAGGACTCATGGAACTGAGGGATGCTTTGCTATTGTTGAACCCATCGCAATGCACTTGGCACAAGGTCACTTGTTAACGTGCTTGCCCCAAACACAAACAGGCTGGTCTTCTGAATCCTTCCCTAGAACAGTGGTTCTAGACCTGTGGGTGCACCGGTTGCTTAAGTCCATCAGAAAACACAGATATTTACATTACAAAATTATAGTTATGAAGGAGCAATGAAAATAACTTATGGTTGGAGGTCACCACAACATGAGCAATTATATTAAAGGGTCACAGTGTTGGGGAGATTAAGAACCACTGCTCTGGAAGCAAGAAAAAAGAGCAAATGAACATATCCAATTGGGTCTTCAGTTTTTAGCAGAAATGTTGCTTGACTTTTTTGTTAACAATTAACTGGATTATGCACAGTGGTTACAGTGGGAGTTTTGAGTGCTGCTTCCTAATTGGAGAAGAAGTCTCCACTCCACAAGACTGTGACTGATCTTGGTGCTTTGCCTTTCACAGGGAAAGTAAAAGTTCTCTTGAAAGAGCTGTGGCTCTGTGTCAACACCGCACACAGGCTGTCCGGGGAGAGCGGCAGGCGCATTCCAGGTGAGCGATGCCACAGAAGGAGGTTCCTTACGCATGAATGTGACAGCATGTGCCACCGGCTGCATTGAAGCCTCCAGTGTGTAGCCGAGAGTGCGCACTTCTAACGGTATTAAGCAGTATGAGTTTAATCCAGAAAATAGTCGACCTCTTACCAGAGCACTTGGAGGAGAAACTAAGGCCTGCTTGGCAGGTACATGTGGGAGACCAAGTAGTCTTACTGTACTGCAAGAATCATTAAACAGTGGGAAAGACCCTCAGAACTACTTCCCAATCCTCTTAAGGCACTGTGGGGCTCATGGGAATTGCACATTTTCCCACCTGTACTGGATCCAGTCCTGGACTCGATTTCCACTCTGGACGCTGTGCTGGGGACTGGTAACAAGATGTGTGTCACTGAGGATCAGACCCATAGAAGGTCTTCTTTGTTTCTCATTTGTTGTTGTTTGGTTTTGAGATGGTTTCTGTGTAGCCCTAGCTGTCCTGGACTCACTTTGGAGACCAGGCTGTCCTGGAACTCAGAAAGATCTGCCTGCCTCTGCCTCCGCCTCCCTGAGTGCTGGGATTTTGGGCGAGTGCCACCACATCCAGCTGAAGATTTTTTTTTTCCAAGTCCTCTGTCTAGTTACTGGAGTTCTTGCATAAGGAAGCCTGCCCCTCTCCGCTATTGACTCTGGTCTGTTTCAGTGTTGCTCTCCTACTTTCCAGTGCATTGCAGTCCCATGCTTCCCTGTCTGCTGCTGACTCTGTTGTCTGTTGCTTACATCAGGGCAGCTTGCTCCTTCCCAGGGTATTGTAAGATTGTGCTTACTGGAAGCTCCTCCAGAGCAGCTCCTGTGTGCCTCACGCATGCTTGTCCAGCTCAGGTCACTTTTGTTGAAGTCTCACCTTGAGGTTCTGTCCACTGGCACAATCCCACTTCTCTGAACAAGTCTCCTCCTGTGTGACTTAGTGATTGCTGTGATGCTATGGGATCCATATTTCTTGGCTAAAACATCGTTATCAACTGAAGTCCATCAAACTCAAAACCATCTCACAATATAGTATAGTTGCCTGTTTGTCACCCCATGCTAGCAATATTTGAGGGAGCCAGTAGGGCAGAGAAATAGATCTGTGCCCACAAGTTGAGGCAGACAATTTTATCTTTCTGAAAAGCAATCTGAAAACAGCCAGTGCCAAACCTCTCCATAGGCATTCTGTACAAAGTGCATGACACCACTATTGAAGGGACAATGCCTCCCAGTGTGTGATAAGGCAGTCAGGTCTCTGTCCCTACTGCTGTGCTACAAGCTGGCCCTGGTCCCTCTATGCACCACACTCCATCCACATCCCTGTCCCAGTCTACATGATGCTTTAGAAGTTGATTGGTGACCTTCTTAAAGCTGGCTACTCATTTCAAGTTAACTACTACCAGTTTGAGCTGTTGTCAGGCTGTAATTTGTAAGTTCCTTTGCATTATTAATATGTGATGCCTGCTTCTCTCCTGCTCAAAAAAAGCTGCCAAAGGAAACCGTGCATCCAGAGCCTCCGGGGAAGATGAGCTACTCCAAGTGCATGACAGTCCTTCCGGGACAGCAGACATGCATTCTTTCTTCACCAAGCTGTCCATGGAGATGGAGGGCGACTTTACTTCCTCTGACAGTGCAGAAGACGAGCAGCCCAGAGGAGCAAGCCCCAGCACTGAACACGCTTTTCCTGAGGAACAGCATCCTGAAGTTTCAGTGCAGAGGCCTGGAGATGACAGCAGAACCAGCGTCCATGACCATGAACACCTTTTTGATGATGACCTTCAAGCTGCAATTGATTTCTTCAAACTCCCCCCTCCTCTTCTATCCCCGGTGCCCTCTCCTCCTCCAAGGGCGTCGCCACACCCAGGCTCTTTTCCTTCCTCCCTGGCACCTGTGAGTTGGTTTTCTGAACTTTAATTCCATTTGATATGTTTGTCCAAGGTCTTTCAAAGTTATTAGTGTACTCAGGCTAAGCTATTCGTTTTAGCCAGTTTTACTATGAAGTAACATGAGAAAATAAAAAGTACCAGGGCCCTTTGGATCAACATATGCTCTCTGTATTATGGTTATATTTTATTTATCTAATTTTAATTACACTTTGTATGTAGGACAATGGCATTTATTTTCATTGCTAGTGCATAGTACATGATAAAGCTGGAGAGGATAAAGCATGTTCTTATAGACATGGGTTTTTCCAAAGAGAGAAAAATCTCCGTGTCTAACATTCCTGCCCCTTCCCCCAGGAACATCCGAGCCTTGGGTATATCCCCACATGCTTACATACTGCTTGCTCCCCTAAGGAGACTTGGCATGCACTTCTCTTAAGACACCTAGTCAGGTGCTGTGGCTTGAGAGGTGGTGGAGATGCAGTGTCAGGCTCTGTGTGAAGGTAGGGCCCGCACGGGGCTCCTCTGCTCGGGTGGAGCCTCCCAGTGCCTCTGGGCACTGTGCCTTGGAGGACAGAGCTCTGCCTAGGAGAGGTGGCATACCTGTGCCTGGAACAGAGGAGCCCTTGAGAAAGCTGTGAAGAGCGGTGGATTCACGAGAGAAGCTGCTCTCCAGCAGGGTTTGACCCAAAGCAAGTGTGGCTTGGGGGAGCTTGATGTGGGATTTCTGGAAGGGCTGAGTCTCCCCGAGGGACTCGTGCCTGCCTGGAGGGGGGGGGGAAGGGGCAGTTCTTGACTCAGGCAACAGTTTGTGCCTAGTCACCATGTAAAGAGTAAAGGATCAACAGAAGCAGGAGGAACGCTGCCCCGGACTAGTTCTTACTATCTGGACACAGGTTGTGGCATTGGGAACACAGAAGCTGGCTTAGTTTAAAAAATGACTTGAGCAGTGGTACTTGATAACATTTTCATTGTGTTCCTCAAGGAGATGGAGTCAAATGGTTGCAAGGCAGCCAATTTAAAATGTGTTAAAGGTCCACTTGGGAATTGTATGAGTACTCGTCAGTGTTTCTACTAACTTCTTACCTGGGCCCTGTCTCATCTAACACTAACACACTTGCTAGCTGCTATGGAGATGGGCAGGACATAGACTTTTAGAACCTGTGGCTGTTTGTGTACAGCAGAGCCATGTAGCTGGGGTGGCATTCAGTAAGAATTTGGAAAAGGTGGGGACCCAGTCAGAACCCAGGGCAGCTATAGGAAGTAAGTGAAAACAGAGGCAGGGAAGAAAGACAGGTGGAGGGAATATGGGGGAAGGCTGGAGAAGAGGTCATCTGACTTCAAGCATTTGCGAGTGGGGATTTTTATACTAGAATAGTTATGTTCCAGTATTTGAGTTCACTCTTCCTTATGCATAGGAAAGGTGGTGTTTGATGACATAAGAGAGGCAGTTAACCCAGATGGGAACCTCTACTTGGGGGTAAAAGAAGGTTTTGGAGCAGAGATGACTCCATTGGCTGGCAAACATGGTGGAGAAGGAGACAGCCATCTAAGGAGAATGAGGGAGATACGTGGCAGGATCCGTGCAGTCCAGGAATAGTAACATGGCAGGGTCTAGCCTGGACATGAGTCTGACAAAGAGTGATAGAGCTGGAGGACCATACACTCAGTATAGAGCCTTCTCTGTAACAGAACCCGGAACTGGGAATGCATGAGAGTTGAAGGGACAGACCCGACCTGGGTATTAGGTAGATTGGCACTCAGGAGCTTCTTTAAGGATTGGGTAAAGCAAGCAGCACACCAGAGCATGGTCCACCCTTACAGGTGTGAGTTCTGAGAACCTCTTCAGGAAGCAACCTCTCTTTTAGATGTGTTTAGTTGTGCTCACAGTGATGGTGTACTTTGTGTCCTTTTAAGGAGTCGTCCTTTGGAGAGTTCACGGATTCCAGCGACAGTGACTCTGCCCCACTTGGAAACTCTGTGGAGTTGGCTTCAGAAGACTACACAGAGGAGTCACAAGGTTATGTGGGTTTGCTTGAAAGAATCAGAAGGAATGATGCATGCATGGAAAAGCCCAGGTCACCAGAAGCTTCCCATGCTGTAAACACACGGACACGTGTTGGGTCTGATTCTGGAAGAGCAGCACTGGGAGAACTGCCAGCCACGTCATCTCTGGCTGAGGGAAGGCAGTGGATAACACCTTCGGGGTTCCTGAGGAATAGAGGAGACTCTGTCGAAGATGCAGAAAGAAAGGCGCAGGTCAGGGAGATGGATAAGTCTGTGCAAGTTGGGAAAGGGCTTCTTAAGCATAATAGGAGACTGTGGCCAGCTCGGAAGAAGGACGTTGGAACTGGGGAATCAGATGTTTGTTATCCTCCCCTTGGCAAGAGGACGTTCAATGAGCTCATAGAATCTGAAGGAAACACCCCATCTTCAAAAGCGTTGTGCTCTCCACAGTCAGAATTCTCTAGGTGGACATTCACTGATGAATTTGCTTCCAAGTCACACTGTGTGACGGGTCCAGACCGTTTTCAGAGAAAGGAAAAAGATGTGCCGGAGTGCACTCTAGAGTCAGGCACATGCACAGCTGCAGCAGGGCATGACCGTCCAGCCAGTCTTCCCTCCTCCTCCTCTGCTACCTCCGTACCTGGGTCTGTGTACAGTAACCGCCAGGCCTCTTGGTTAGGCGGTGTCAGTGCGACTACGCCAGCAGAAGTGACCTGCACGGACCTGCAGCGTTCAGAACAAAAGTCACCAGCCAGGACATTAAACACATTACTCCTGCAGTCTGAGCCAGCAACGTGTTTTCTAAAAGAAAGTGACCAAGAACACAGCTTGTCTGCTTTGAGTTCCAAGTCAAAATTAGGAACATCTACCTTCAGTGGTTGGAAGAACAGGGACCTGGAACCTTTCAGTGCTTTAAAAAGCACGATGAATACATACTCTCTGCCCCAGTCAGTATTTCAGAAGCCAACAAAAGAGGGACAGTGTGAAGGCCGAGGTCCAGGCATTGTGCTCACACTGCCTAAGTCAGACTGGACATCATTAGCACATTCTCAGGCTGGTTTCTCCAGAAGGAGCCCTGCTTCTGCTGACAGTATCTCTTGGCACCGCAGTGATGTCCTAAAGCGAGGTGGTGGGGTCAGCCCCAGAGCTACCTCAGAACACCAACAAAGGACCAGGCTGCAGCCGGAGAAGGCAGCACCAGCCTCACAGAACAGCAGACTGACTGCCATGCTTGGACATCCTGGAGAAAGTACTATTCCTCTGCAGTTCAAGGCAGCTGCTGCTTTGCTGCCGAACCAAGTGTCAGTCATAACAAAGCAGGCAAGACCCGAGAGGATGCAGAATAGCAGCCTGGAGCACTGGCAGCCACATGGGAACACACCAAGCCCTGCTACAGACAGTAGCGAGGAGAGAGGTCCTACGCCATCGGTACAAGAATGTGCCCAAGACAGGGACCCCACAGCACAGGGTCCTGAGGGGATCACTGATGAGGAAAGCCCTTCTCCAGAACTTCCTGTGTCTTGGCGAAAACCAAATTGTGATTCTCCAAGTGGCTCCTTGCCAGCGGAGAAGCTTGGTTGTTCCAGAGATCCTAAGTTAGCTTTCTCCTCTGAAGACAACCTCTTTCAGAGCCAACGTGTCATGAATGAACCAGTGCTGCAGAAGCCCAGGAAGTCTCCCCAAACCACACAGTCAGGTGCCCATAGGCTGGAGGCTAGGGAGCTCCTTCCATCTGGAATGACATCCAGAGACTGTCCTGCTGCACATATGCCCCGTGGAGCCCGTCACCAGGCAATCACTGAGGCCCCTGTAGTTGTGAGAGAGTCTCATGGTGCTCCACAGAATGCCAGTGCACCTCCCACAGTGCCAAGCAGGGGTCATATGAGGACTTGTGTGTCCACAGGCCCTGTTTGTGCTTCAGTCCTTGGCAAGGCAGATGAGGAGAGGCGAGTTATCTCCCTAAGTAGTCTCCCTGGGCCTTCCTACTCCTACACAGGCATTAGAGAGAAGGGAGAGGAGGACACTGAAGTCGAGGACGAGGCTGTTAGTTGCAGTGAGGGAGAGCATGAGGCTGAGAGTACAATGGGGCACAAACAGCAGGGTGCAGCAGCAGGACCCTCACAGAGACATTCGGGAGACCCCGAGGCTGTGGCGGGTGAGGCAGGGCTCACCTCAGATGTAGGCGATCTGACCTCCGCACTGCAAGAGTGTAACTTGAGCACCTTTCCGTACATAGACAAGCGTGCTACCTCAGAGGTGGTTTCATTTCTGGAAAGTTGTCAGCTAAGGGACAACAGGTCAAGGGCTTCTGTTTCAGAGTGTTCTAGCAAAGGAGCCCTAAATGAAGAAATGAACAAAGAGGTAAAACAAAATGAAATCTCCAGAAAGAATTGTGGGAAGAGGTTCCGTGAAGAAGAGGCACTCAGAGCCTTGGACGAGTGGGTTGAGTCAGAGGGCAACAACTGTTGTGTCAGGAATGTACACCACCGTGTTCACTGTCCTCTGGAAATGCCATCTGATCTTCTCACCAAGACTGGGGAAGAAATTCATGCCAACCCTGGGGACTGCGGTGGGAAGGATGCTGAGTGTCTATTGCTTGTAAATATGCATCACAGCCAGGCAGCTGAAAACCTGACAGAAAGCACTCCGCCTGAGGAAACATCCAGCCCCACATCTCACACTGCTGAACTGCCTGAACCAGCAGCTGTAGATGCTGGAGGCAGCCCCCCACAGAGTAGCAGCTCTGACCCTGAGCACATTCAGAGTAGATGTGAGGATGAGACCAACTCTGAGGGGTGCCTCTGCACTTCGGAAGAGGGACTGACAGAACCTGGGGAGCTGATAGCCCTGAGCTCTGACTCTCCAGTCCCACTAGGGACAGAGCAGAGCTCTGACTTTGTGGCAGAGACAGCATTTCACTGTCAGATCTCTGCAGTGACCTCCGAAGTTATAAGTGTACTTATAAGTAAGGATCAAGACCTCGTGATCGAAAAGGGGGACAGCTGGACTATCATCAGTGGCACTGCCATCTCCCCTAGCCTAGAACAAGTAGTTTTGGGTGACACTCTTGTGGATGCTGCCGCTTCCCAGGATCAGGGAGGCCTAGAGGATGGGTATGTGGAGAAGTCCCCCGAAGCCAGCCCTGCTGGCCCTCTACCTCAGGAGCCTGCATGTAGTGGTGTTCTCTCTGGTGTCCAGGAGGATGTTTCCAGTGGTGGGCAGAGTGCCAACTTTGATAAGACTCGTCTTCGGAACAGACCTGTAAAACCCAGCATCTGGGTTCGTTCTCAGATGTACGACCAGACGCTTGAGACGGAGAAAGTTGCATCTGATCACACATATTATAACTGGAAATTAGAGCCACTTGGAAAAAATAAGACTCGATCAAAGACTTCCAACAAAGACCAGTCAGGCAAGCTAGCAAAGACACAAGGACTCAACAGAGTAGAAGTGCATCTGAATGAAGTCTCTCAGCCAACATCAGGGGAAACAGCAAATACAAAAATGCCAAGAAGCCAAGCTGAGCCCCCTGTGGCAGGAACAGATATGTCCACCCCCACCAACTGTTCTCCCGATACTCTGAGCAAGATCCGCCAAGAAGTGGGTCCTCCATTGCCTCCCTTGCTCCTCCCACTAATAGCCACACCTCCAAGGACATCACGGCCACTGTCTCCTCTGATAACAAGTTCTAGTCCATCCTCACTGTCTTCACCTGCTGGCCACGTTTCCCCCTTGTGTGAAGTTCCAAGGCCTCCTGTGCTGTCTCCATGGCCTGAGGAACCCCAACAGGCTTCCCCTCTGGACCCCTCTCCATCCCCTTCAACTACAGCCACTAATGGAAGGATGGTGTCCTCTCCTTTGCAGTTCTGTGCTGCTACACCAAAGCATGCACTTCCCGTGCCTGGCCGTCTCCCATCCTGTGCCCCAGGCCATGCTGCTGTAAGCGGGCCACAGGAGAATTCAGTTAAAATCCTTGACACCATGTACCCAGAGTTATCTGCCAGGGCCCGGACACTCAGCCTCCTCAAAGGAAACATGCAGCTGTCCCGAGGCTCCTCTGTGGATGGAAAGGTGTTGCCAGGGCGTGTCAGTGCTCTCCTAGGACTCAAAGCTATCACCTCAACATCAACTGCTTTTGTCCTAACAGGGGGCAGTTCTGGTGGTGAGAGTAGCCAAGGTAAGTCACAAGACTCGGGTGCTCAGCAGGATGCAGGTGGGAAAAGAATACTAGCAGCATCCATGCTGAGAAGTGCTAAAAGACTGCGCCTGGACAGTGAGTCCCCAGAGCCAGACACCAGTGAGGCTACAGTAGCGGGCGTTCCCGAGGACCCCCAAGAGGGAATCTCAGCAGCTGACATTGTCCCAGCTGAGGAAGAGCAAACTGATGTCCCCGTCTGCAGTCCAGCATCACAGCTGCACGTAAACCCAAGGGAGAAGGCGGAGTCATGTAACAAAGCCATAGCTCAGGCTCTGAGGAAGATTGCTGAATCCTCCTTTGACCTGCTCCCTGTCATTCGTAGTCACGTGTATGTGGGAAATATCTCCAAAAAGCCTGTCATGAGAGATCAAGAGAAAGAAGTTGTTTATGAATTTAGCACAACAAACAAGGTACGTGAAAGCCTTTCTCTGAGTGTATTAAGCATAAATGTTGAGCAGGTACTGGCTAGTGCAGGTGACACTGAAGTTCTAGCCTGCATCTGTAGACTAGAAATAGATGAAGATAGTGGAGGCTTGACACATAAAACTCTATAGATGAAAATCTGTCAGAACAAAAAAACATTTCCAGATGATGCTGGCATTTCCAGCTTGAATTATACCCCTCCAGCGTGCTACATTACCATTGCATGCTAGTCTTACCCTCCCTTAGATGGTGGTCAGAGCCTTGTGCAGACTTTGTGTTGCTGTGTTGCTCCTGCAGACTTTGTAGCTGTGTGTGCTAATCATCCCTCAGCTCCTTGCCAGGTGACTCCAGTGCCTGCCGGATCACCTTCAGTGGCCACTGTCGCATCCAGGATGTCCTCAGGGAAAAAATACACTGTTCTTGATTACTACCTTTCAACAAGCCTAAGAGACTTAGTTGTCTTTGTGGGACTATATTCTCTGTGGAGAGCTACCAAATTTTCAGTGATACAATTTGTAATTAGCCCGAGTTTTATGTACATACACACATACTTGCACACATGAATTCTTAGCAAAAAAACATGAATTACAATTTATCTGAATGATGACCATGTCATCCTAGGCAAGGAGGTATTTATAGACTTGCTGTGGTATCTGTAGTTTGACTGATCTCAAGAGGTCAGTCCTAGGGAGTTGTCTCACCTCTAGCTACACTCCTGGCTACCATGCTAAGCAAGTTGTTATCAGTTATTGTGGCCTACCTTCTGGTGCTTTGTGAGTTTTCTTTGTCTGATAGATACCTAATTAGGATTGGTTCTTATATCACTGACCATAATGCTTTTCTTTCTTTTTTTTCCTCCCAATCTAGCATTTAGGAGAATACTTACTTCGCTCTATTCTCTCAGAGCTAAAGGTTCAGAAAGCATCTCTGGACCACAGTTACATCCATGCCCTATGCAGAGTGTATGTGGGCATGTGTCGGCAGCTTGGAGACCTGGAAAGGGCGCGCTTGTTCTGTTACAGCCTTCTGAAGGAAGGTGTGTCCGGGTGCAGTATGTCTATATTGAATGTTCAGTTTCATATTGCGCTGCTTCTGTCTTTTTCCACTGCTTATCTTTAATGTTTTCAGTCTCTCAGTTTGAAACTAGCATGGTCTAGAGTTTCTGTCTTTAAAAGGGGGGGGGGGCTGCTCTATCAGAAAGCTTAAGTGAATCTACCTAATTATAGTAGTTTCAATATCATTTACTTAGATTTACTTACATTGCCACATGTATTTACACTTGTATAGACTGTCTCTTGTTGCACACAATGTATTTACGTTAGCCCTGTGTTGCAAAATGCAGGATCCTTGTCCAGTGACTACCCATGTTGCTGTGCCCCTGGCTAAATAACAGTGGCTATTAGATAGATTTTGTAGCTCATGGGAAGATGTATCAGTGATGACAAAGAGGTAGAGGAGCAGGGCTGTCCTTGCTTAACTTCCCTTTTACTGTCACTTCCTAGTCTCACTGTGCATCTGAATCAGCCATCCTTTGTGACAGCAAACCATCAGTATTCACACAGGCAAGGAGAGGAGCATAGCATAGTGTTGCAGGAGGACGTCCATGTTAGGAGCACAGCATAGTGTTGCAGGAGGATGGAGAACCCCACATCTGTTTGCTGTCACTACAAATCCAATGGATACTACTTTAGTGTGCTGTGCACTCTCCCTTTCAGACATAATCAGTCTGACTGCTGAGATCTGTCCATTCATGAGGAGTCTGTTGCTTTGCACAATCATGTAGTGTTCAGTTATTCAACAGATAACAATGTACTGTCCTGTCCAGTCACTTCACTGTTTTCAACTATAGACGGTTACGAATTGAGACATCAAAACACCTATCTCAAGTCTGTAAGGATGTCTCCATCTCTGTTGAATATGTACCTAGGAGTAGAGCTTATTAGTATGCAATGAGATCTTAATATTGTAAACAAAACCAGTTTCCCAGGGCAGTTAATGTGAGGAGTTTGTCCAGTTTCTCATGAAGGCCTACCTGTTGAAAGCTGGCATTCTCTGTCTATTACAACTGTGAGTAAAAGGCTGTGTAGTCAGAGCGTAAATGTGGTTCACAAAACAGTTTACACTGTTTTGGTGTGTTGCTGTATACAGCTCTTCCTTTGATGCCTGCCTCCTGTCCTAGCACTTCCACCTGCCCCTCCTAGGTCTAGTCCACACTTTTCACTCGACACGGAACATGTCCCCGAGTTCTGCCTCAGACTGTCCAAACATCCACCTTACAAAATACAATCCAGTCACTCAGCAAATGCTTAGTTGCTATGTGGAAATGAATGTCTTGTAATATTGCATATCAGACAGGAAAATGCGGAGCCTTAAGAAATTTGGAGTCAAGATGTTTTAACTTTCTCTCCTTTGATGGCTCCCTTTGATACCACATTTTAAACATTTTCTATTTTTGTACAAGGTTTAAAATCTAACAATATGCCAAGCCAGATGTGATAACTCACTCTTAAAATCCCAGAGCTAGGGAGATTGAGACCAGAGGATTTCTGCTGGTTTTAAGCCTCCGGGCTGCAGAATGAGACCTGTCTCAAAATAGAAGACAACTAAAAAATACCAAAGACGGAAAAAGAACAGGTTTTGAAAAATCGAAGAGAAGAGCCCTGTTGGCTATCCACTCACAAGGCTGTCGACTGAGGGAGCCTCACAAGCCCCTGTGAAGTGAAATTCATGCCTAGTTTTAGATCAGCACCTAGGTGAGATAGATATGAAGGCTGCTCTTTCCATCCCTTTTTCTTACAGATTTTCCAGAATCTGAGAAGTTGACTCTCTTCATTGCGAACATGTGGCGTGAAGTATTTCTCTCCCAATCAGCCATTAGTCAAGCAATGCAGCTGGTTGCCAGGCAGCGTGCCAGAGGGGAGGTTCTGAACTGCTTGAGAGCATTCCTGAGCTGGGAGAAGGTGCACATTGTTTTTATTTCTCTTCTGCAGTACTTGTGGGTGAACATAGGTGTTACTTTGTGTTAAGTTTCCTCTTATCTTAGTTCTTCAGCATCTCTAAGCAATGACCTTCATTTATGCATCTATGTATCTGTTGGTGTGCCTGTCCATGCTCAGGGTATGCTGGAATTTGTAGGTAGGGTCACCCTCATAGATTCCTGCTAGTTTCCATTGCCTGAGGTTTCTAGCTCATTCCAGAGATATCTGCTACCCTCCCCCGAACCACACACACACACACATCACCAATTCTAGTTCTTTCTCCCCGTATTCTTTCCCTCTGTCCTTCCCCAACTTGATTCTTCTTGCTCTCTATGCCTACCATCCCAGGTCTCTCCCTCTGTTCACCCCTGATGTCTATCTATTTCCCTTTCTGTGAGATTCAAGCATCCCCTCTTGAGCCCTCTTTGTTACTTGGCTTCTTTGGGTCTGTGGATTGTAGCCTGGTTATCCTGCACTTTATGGCTAATATCCATGTATGAGTGAGTACATACCATGTTTATCTTTCGGGGTTACCTAGCTCAAGAGGATCTTTTTTAATTCCATCCAATTTACCATCCTGAACATGCCCAATCTCATCTGTTTCTGCTGTTTATTGTGACTATAGTAAACAGTTTCTAGTTCAAACTCAGGCTGCTTCAAAGTTACTCTTAGGCAAATGCCAATCCACCAGGTGCTTAGCATAGCCTCATATTGCTAACAACACGAGAGGTTACTTTTTACTGTATTTTTTTGTTTGCTAGAATGCTTCTATTGATGTCGGGATCGTCGTCTCTAAGCTGCTTCTGACCATACAGCTGTGCCCCAAAACAGAATTTCAGTCGAGTGAAGAGTTTGGCGAGGACCTGAGTGCAAACATCTGGGAATACATATTTGCCATTGACCTCCTGTGCTGTCACCAGAGGTGGATTTGGACACATGACAACATCATAAGGTGAGAGCTCAGTTGCTTTAAGTGCAGATGGGCTAAGAGAGGATGATTGGTAATGTGGAGTGTGGGCTGACTTGTGCTTCCTTCCTACACGTGGCATTTGAAATATACCAACTTTTATAAGAGCTAAGGAAAGTACCCTTAAAATGTTTGGGTCACTATTAAATGCCTCAGCTTTGTTTTTCTGTTAATGTCTCCCCAATAGAAGTGACTGTAGCACGAGGGCCTTTTGTCCCCTCCTGTCCACAGAGTGACATTGTCGCTAGGCAGCCAAATGCTGCACTTGTCCCTTTCATGCACTGACAGGCCAGAATCAGAGGAACCAATGTGCAGATGTACAGTTACCAGCTCTTCACTGGGGAGGGTAGAGCCTGGTGTCCCAGACAGACACTGAACTTAGTTAGGCTTCCTGTGCTTGTCTGTGCTTCTGGCCCTTACCATGCACCATCCCTTAAGAGCCTGGAGAAAATTGTCCCTCGAGTTTAAAAAAAGAAGGTGTTTTTGAACTCTGGCTGAAAAAGCCTGATTTAAGAGAGGATATGACATCCACTGATCACACGTTTGATGTCTTTGAAATGCTTGACACTTTTTTGTGAGAGTCAAGCTGTTTGTGCAGGAGAATCTTGTTCCTACTTTCCTGATTGCAGGACTGGCTGTAACACTGAGAACTGAATCTAGCTTGATTTCTGCAGTCAAATCTGTGTCAAGGAGCTTGTCTGTGAGGAGGTCCTTGGACATACACCTGGAGAAGCATGTCACAGTCGGTCCTACATAAGGAAGCGACAGAGCTTCTGTCTAGCTGTGAGGGTGCAGGTCCCAGGTGGATTCCTCATGAGCTCAGGGAGGCAGGGTCATTCTTCTCTATAACAGGAGGCACCCAGAGCTGGCCCTCGTCAGAGTGCTTTGTCTAGGCCTTTCAGTGGCCCTGAGTCCTCTAAGTGGCTCCACACCCTGTGCTTCCCTGCTCAGCACTGTTCTCTCCATGGCATTTACATCTGTAAACAGAAGGGGTGTGGAGAGCTGGAAAGAAAAGTCGCCATAACAGGAGCAGTGCTGTGGCCACTGGTAGGTACTGTCTAGATGGTAATGGGCACGGATCTTGTCATGTTTTCTAGCAAGGAGCTGTGGCCTGTGATGGATAAGTGGATCAAATACAGGAAAGGACATTCCAACATCGCATATACCCCTGATGTTATTGTAGCATCTGTGCTGAGACTGATTGGTAAGTTTCTTTGTGATTGTATTGCTACTCTTGTTCTTGTTAAGATCTTGGTCAGAGATTAAGAGTGTAGTAATGTATCTCGGTTTGAAACTTCACTCTCATGAGCAGCTTAGCTCACAGCTGTCAGACCAGTGTGTCTGTGCTTGAACCCCCTTACTCACTCTTCTGCTACTGCTTCCTTCCCTGGTGCTCTAGCCATTTCTCAGACACTTACAGTGCTCGGTGGTAGTGTGTTTGAGTTACGGTTCTAGATTTGTCAACACATGCACAGATGAGTTCATAAATTGCAACAAAATATACTGTGCTTTTGTTCAGAATCTAAAATATCATGGGCCAGTGAGGTGACACAGTGTGCAAAGGTCCTAGCCGCTCAGTCCCCAATGACCACAAATTTGAGTATGTTCCTATAAGATATCCCGATTATAGACGTCTAAGAAGGGTACTTTAGAGTATTAGAGAAATTAAAATCGCTATTTGAGAGCACCTTGAGACTCAGACACCACCGAACTGTAAGATCTGGAGCAGGCCTTTAGATTCTTCCTTGTAACCAAAAAAAACCAAGTTTTTCTTTTTACTCTACTTTGATCCTCTTTGCCTGACCTGTGGCAACGTGCTGTTCACTGCTTCAGGGTCATCAGCCCCACTTCCTAACAACCTGCATATTTTGTTTGAGCTCTACATGTCTTCCATCCATCTGGGCCACACAAACCAAAGCACTGGCTTTTTCAGAGAACCCTTTTGACTTTAGCTAATTAAAGCACAAGGGCAAAATTATTGGAAATAGTATTGTGAATGAAATAGTATTGTGAATGAACCTAGTATGTATTAGTAGGAATACAGCGTCCCTGCTGATTGCACCTTCCTCCTTGTGACCTGCACACACTAGTTAGTGATGCTGTGCTTAAGCACATGTGACACATCCGAGACAGAACCCTGAATCCGGGTGGGTATGTAATGAGATGGCTAAAGACTAGGCAGCCATGAGAGCCATGTCAAGGGTGGAGACACAGGTGTGGAGTTCCGCACACTCTGTAGCGCCTTCATAGACTGTTTGGTCAGTGGCCATCTCTAGCCTGGAGCAGGAGGAAGAAGGCAGGAGGGCCTGTGCTGGCAAACTCAGGGTACCAGTTTCTATAGTGCTGCTCATGACTTCAGGAGGAGCTGTGCCTCTGTGCACTGACTGCTGAAAGTGAGCCACTCCTCTGAGAGTTTACAAAGTAGGAGAGCTGCTCAAGGTGCCAGTTTGTGCTATGTGGGCCCTTCACACAGAGGAGGAAGCGCTACAGCCTTTCCCTCTGTGGTGTATTTTCAAAGTTCATGCATGCTTATGGCATTTTCCCTAGAATGACTGTGTGTGTGTGCACGCGCCTGTGTGCACCTGTGCTTGTAGAGGCCAAAGGACACCTCAGGTGTCATATCTTGGGTGTCATCTACTTTGTGGGTTTTGTTTGTTTGTCTTGGTTCTGATTTTTTTAAGACACTATCTCTCACTGAACTGAAACTCACTAAATGGTCCAGGTTGCCTGACAATCAGGACCCAGGGTCCAGCAGTGGGGTCATAACAGTCTTAGCTTGTGACGGGAGTTTTGAGGATCAAACTGAGCCCTTGATGTTCTTGTCGAGGTGACTGTGCTCTGTGCTTATTCCCACAGTGAGAGGGGCAGTGAGTAGAATGCTGTTCTGGTGGTCGGTAGCCTTGTGCCACTGTGGAAACAAACTGTGGTTCTCACAGGAGGGTCCGCTGTTGGTGTAGCTCCTCTTACAACTGGCCGAGGTCTGCCTTGCTTCTCAGGCTGCCCAAGAATTTCTAAGGTAGATAACAAGACTGCTGCTTCCACAGCTGGGTCAGCAAAACCACCCGGGGAAGCCTGCAAGGAGGGAAATGGGGCAAAGTCACAGTGGGACCCTAATAGGACAGCAGTAGACACTTTGGGTTAGATGTCACAACATGCTTTCAAAGCAACTACTCTTGTTACATGAGCACTTGTACTGAATGTGCCTTATGGAAAGGCTAGTCTTCAGGTGAATCAGGAAGAACGTACTAAGGTACTGAAATTTTATCCCAGAGCCAGAATATGGGTCATTTGTACCTTTGGCAAATTAAGGCTAGTTTATTTTTTAAATCTTAAGTCTTCTGGCTTTCAAGGGTAGAGTGATTTAGAATAATATATTCTTAAATAATGGATAATTAATACAATTGTTATAGACAAGAATAATTTATTATTAATTAGAGCTGACAATGCTGAATGATGATTCATAAATACATAACATGTACTTTGAAGGATGGAGAGCCATTTTCAATTCAAATTGTATTCTGTGATGACAAACTTCCTGTCAGTGTGCAGTACAGAATAATCCTGAACTGAGCAATAAACATGCTGTTAGCCAGCAACCATGTGCAGTCCAGTAGGCTTTCTCCAGCATACTGTACCAGTATTGTGATGGAGGACACCCAAGAAAGTGTGGGAGGACCTGATGTACCGTAGGGCTGTGAATATCTTGGCAGAGCTGACACCTGCATAGTTTGAGCCACTAACTGAGGGTGGCAATACCAAAGCAGAAGTGAGGATAGAAGCATTAAAAAGGTAGCAACTTTTGCCTTGGGGTAGCAACCTTCGTCCCACCCAGGGGGAGGGTCTTCCCTGCAGTTAATCAATCATTCCTGGATAAATATCCTACAGATCTGCACAGAGCCTCCTCTTGCTAATTCTAGAGCCAGTCAAATTGACAGCCACACTCACCTTATTTGACATTGTAATTAAAGATAATGGTCCTCTGAAACAAAAACCAGTGGGCATAGATAGCATTGCCTTGGAGTCTTGTTTTTGTATCCTTGGTAGAAAACAGCACTTTCTCATCGTATGCATTGAGTGTTCCATGTTGTTTGGGGTTAGCAAAAGAACTAACTATTAGCTGTGTAGTGGTGGGACACACCTTTAATCCCAGCACTCAGAGAGGCAAATGCCTGCAGATCTCTGAGTTCAAGGCCTACCTGGTCTAAGGAATAAGTTCCAGGATAACCAGGACTACAAAGAGAAACCCTGTCTTGATAAAATGAAAACCAAAAGGAAGAGACTTGCAAAAAAGTGTAATCAGTGACAGTGAAGAGTCTTTCAGTGGCCATTTTGATTCTTTCTAAATAGATATTCTGCCTTGTTTTTCCTGAATTGGGGTCTTGCTTAAGTAGTAAGTTCTTAAAGTTATTTGTGAAACACCAGACTGGCTTTCATGGTGAAGAAACCCATTTGCCCACTTATGCTCTGCAGTGTTCACCTGTAGAACAATTATTAGCACATCTTCCAAATGTGACCAATATACACCCCACAATACACACACAGGATCATCCTTAGAGCCGTCTTAAGTATTGGAGAGCTCCTGAGCAAGGGTGACTGGTGGGAGCAGCTGTTTCTGCTTTAGATGCAAAGAGCCCATGCAGCCGTTGTTTATGGTGGTAACTTGCCTTCAAGTTGCAGCTTTGTTTTTGAGAACTTATCTCCTTTTTCCAAATGCCTAGCTGCGCTCACAACTCAGTTTGGGCACACTTTCTCAACACCCTATGGTCAGTGCGGTGAGGGTTCTACTGGTACTCCTGTGACCTCCATCACACACATGTGCACCATGATCCCGGGTGGATGAGAGTAGCTTATGCCAGGTCTGTCAGTCTCTAGTGAGATGGGCATAAGTGCCAGCCAGGACGACTCACCTCCCTCACCCAGTGGGGCACAGTTGTGCTTGCTCTGTTGCTGCCTTCACCCCGCGGTCCTGCTTCAGTGTGTGCTGGAAGAACCAAGCTTTCTTTTGTGGTGAGACCACGGCCTTCCTTCTGTTACCCTGGTAAAGTTCTTTGTTAAATTTTGCCTGTGTTGACCACTACTTAATTCCATTTCTGCATTGCTACCTGTCTCAGTTAGTTAGGGTGACATCACTTAGTGAAGAAACAACTGTAACCAAAAGCAACTTGGGGAGAAGAGGGTTTATTTGCTTATGGTTCCACATCTCAGATCATCATCAAAGGAGTCAGGACAAGAACCTGGAGGCAGAAGCTGATGTACAGGCCATGGAAAGTTGCTGTTACTGGCTTGCTCACACAGCTTCCTCAGTCTGCTTTCTTAGAGAACCCAAGACTATCAGCCCAGGGTGGCCCCATCCAAAATGGCCTATGCCCTCCCCCATCATTTGTTAATTAAGAAAGTATCCTACAGACCTGCCAAAGCCTGATCTTAGGCAGGCATTTTCTCAATTGCAGTTCCCTCTACTCGATGACTTTAGCCTATGTCAAGTTGACATCAAACCGGCCAGCATAACCATCACCCTACCCTAACCACTAGACAAGAAAGCACCAGGTGTCTTGTGCTTATTGGTGGGTAAGTAAGAGGTGGTGAGCCATTCTTGTGAATGGCGGGTACATTGTGCTATGAACTCCATGGGCTCAGCTGTCACACTGAGTAGTAGCTCCCACTGCACTTCTGGATCTTCAGGCTTAAACTATGCCACATTAAATGAGGGAAAAAATATCATTTCCAGGAAATATTAGCATTTGCTGAAGCCCACTTTGCTGTATTTTGTTCTTCTAGGTCGATTAGGCCAGTTGGGTTTGAAGGAAGGATTTCCAACTGCTGTGAAGAATATCAGCTCCGTTATTGGCATGTTCATACAGCATGCTCAGGATGAAGGTAAGGCCATGGTTTTCATCCCTCAAGCTGTTCTCCCTGCATCTCCTGAGGACGTGAGCCAGTGCCCGTCCAACCTAAGATCAGAGCTTTTGACTTCTGTGGCCATTGTTTCTGCAAGGGTCGGCTTGTCCTGTTGAGCGGTTCTTCCTCAAAAGAGGCACTGTGCTCCCCAGGCTTGTCACTCAGGAGGCATCCTGAGAATGGCTCACCACCTCTCACCCATGCATGGATAAGCACAAAGTGCCTGCTGCTCTCTTAGTTAGATAGTGTGCTAGCAAGTTTTATGTCAGTTTGACACACGCTAAAGTTGTCTGAGAGGAGGGAACCACCACTGAGAGAATGCCCGGGAGGCTTCCTGCTGGGCTCTGTCCTCTGTGAAACCAGCCCAGCAGCCTAGGGATAGTGCTCTGCAACAGAGTAGGCCCTTGTGCCAACCGTTCATGGATTTGATGTCTTACTGTTTGGAGAGAGCTTGACTTGGAGTAACCCTTAAAAGGATGGGTCTGGTTTCTATTTTGGATATTGAGCAGTCAGTAAGACCCTCATGGCAGTGGGCTTTCTAGCATGGCAGGTCTTTGACTGCAGCCATTGGTGGCAGGCCTGATGTGCCAAGCACAGGGACAGCAGCTGTAAGAGCTTTCTCTAAGGCACTGTCTCTGACCTAGCTGCTAAGGCAGTGTCCATTGCTTCCATATGAAAATGCTCTTGACAACAGTTTGGGTCTTAGCTGATGAGTTGTCTTGCCAACATGTACAGCCTGGACTGTGTTGCTGTCATAGGTGTAACCTAGAAGCCACGCATCGTGGGACACTGCCCCACATCATTACGGGCATCCTAGGCTCCCTAGAGAGGCGAGGTGCTGTCCTTGTTCCATACACTAAATCCCAGAGGGAAGAGTAAGGAGCCAGCAGTGCCTGTCAGCGCTGTTGGTGTAAGCCTGTGTGCAGCAGGCTGGGAAGTCTGCCTAGGACCACATGTGTATGCTTAAGGCTGCTGTGAACACCTCATTTATGCCAAGAAATCCTCTTAGAACATCAGTTCTCCCGTACAATAGAACTCACATTTAAACACATGAATTTCTCTGATGTTCGCTTCCTCCTTGAGGAGTGGGACCTTCTACAACTGCTCTTTTTTTGAAAAAGAGCATCGCTCCCAATCTAAAAATTTTTGAGTACTGACAAAATTCCACATCTGTACAATTAACATGAAATTATTAGACTGCTGTATTAAATTACCTTTGCTGTGTACCTAAGACATAGATGGATCATAAATGAATGTCATGGTTGGACATCTGTGGTCTGTAGGTGTGCATTGAGATGAGGGACACAGCCTAACATTCTAGCTTCCCTTGTAGCCCCTGCCTTGGTCACAGAAGATGGAGATGTATGGCTAATAATGAACTCTAGCTCCTCAGTCATTTAGAGTTCAGTGTTTTACATTGATGGGTTATAAGTTAATAAGTTAGATTTTAAAAGTAAATCTTTTGACAATATAGAGATAACGGCAGTTTAATTAAATCAGCTGTCACATTGGCTGGAGCCACACTGGTCTAGAGTCATGCCTGCTTGGAGTCAGTTAACTTGCTTCACACTGGCTGAGTCACACTGGCCTGGAGTCACTCTGATCACTTGCCAGGAGACGCACTGGCCCAGAGTCACACTGGCCTGGAGCCACGCTTATCTTGCTTCACACTGGCCTGGAGTCATACTTACCTTAACTCACACTGGCCCAGAGTCACACTGGCCCAGAGCCATACTGGCCTGGAATCACACTGATCTATAGCAACACTGGCCCAGAGCTACAATGGCCCCGAGTCACACTGGTCCAGAGTCGCAGTGGCCCAGGGTTGCAGTCTCATCTAGTGTCAGTGTGGCACAAGGATAGGCTTTTGGACTATTGTGTAAAAAATAAGCTTAAGTTATTTTGTCTTAATTTTTGTGTCTACGTCCATTCAGAGACAGTGCTGGAGGATGTTTGAGGGTTTTGTATTAGCTGGTTGTTAAGAGGACCCACATGTTTTCCAGCTTCCTGGGGACAGAGAAGGCCTGAAGTCCTTATGACCCCAGAGATACAGGGAGCTTCTATTGTCCAGCTGTAGACAGGTCTTGAATGAGCTTGCTTACTGTGAGACATTTTTGTGGGAATGTCATTTTTACTGGTGGCAGAAGGTAATCCATGTCTGAGTAGCATTCTCTGGGTCACACATGGAGATTCTGAACAGACATTTTCTTTGTGGCTTGTTATAACTGGTGTGAAAATCCTTTTCAGATATCCCATGGGGTGTACAGCTGGCAGCTGTGTACGCCCTGTGTGACCTGAGTCCTAGCAATCCAGCAGAGATATCCAAGATCCTGGAAGCTTGGCGGACACAGACTTCCAACACCATCCCATCCGCAATCGTCAGCTGTTTGGCAGAGGTTGACTCCCTGAGTGCTGACGGTTCGGCTGCCACCACCCTGAATGCTGGGGGCTCAGCTCCCTGAGATGGGAGGGTCACCTGAAGGTCATGGTCACTGCACAGAGAAGTACCTTGACATCTTTTGCTGTAAACGACTAGCCTGCCTTCAGCTGGAGTCCAACAGAGAAAGGCATAAAGCAGATGACACAACATATTCCTTATGGCTTGACAGGAGGCAAAGAGACAAGCGGTTGCGTTTCCCCTACATCACATGCATTTCAGTTATGGCTGTATGGTCACATGACATAGATTGTAGTAGTGTATCTTGGTCAAACAACAAAAACTTGAACTTAGCCCTTTTTTATTTTTTGGCCACAAAAAGTGTCCTTTTTAGTGGCTTTTAAAGGTTGAGTGGCATTTTTGTAATGATCTTAAAAGTAAAAAGAAAAAAAATTGGTCCTAGAGCCATTTTTGGAGTTTATACTCAAATAAATGGCTAGGCAAAAGCAAGTTGGCTTTTAAAATGAGAACTAAATGAGTCTTTCACTGTCGTAGCTGAAATGGCTGCAGAAGTTTTCCCAGAGAGCAACGAGTAGCTGTCGTAGTAGGACAGGCTGCTGGTGGAAGTGCACTGGAATGCATCTCCTCCCATCTCTGAATGTCCTGAACCATACAGAACTATCAGGATTGGAACTGACAGTGCAAGACTCCCCTATGGGCTGTGTAGAGATGGCCAGTCTGATGGAGCAGCAGAGCCCTGTGGGCTGTGTGCATAGGGACAGCTCTGTGGGGTATGTGCATACAGACAGTGCTATCTATGATGTGTCTCACATTGGATGATATTCCACTTTCGGAATTTTTGTATTTGTATATAGAAATGGGTTCAATAACTCACTGTGATTCTGATTTGTCTTATATTCATCATTTCTTAAAACTCTTGTATGTGTTTTTATAATAAAAAATAAAAGCAAGCCATACACACTGTTGTTATGACTGGTAATGTGTGATGTTTGGTGTCCCATTTCTAGTGGGCATGAAGATGTCTTCCAGAGTGTCACATGGTTCTGTGTAGGCTTCACTCTTATAATTGCTGCCCATAAAATCACACATGACAGTGATTCTAGTGACTCAGCTTTTTCTTCTTAAGACGCTTTCACAAACAAGAACGAGCAGGTCGTCCCTTTGGAAGCTCTTTCAGTGCCTCCTGACCTATGCTCTGAGTTGGAACGGGTGCTCAGCATGCCTGCCAGGAGCCATAGTCTCCAAGCTGGCCTGTTAGTGGGAAAATCTGAGTCACCACCCACTGGACCTGGCACTGGGCTCTGTAAGGACAGTGAAGGGGGCACAGGTGTAAGCAGGAGGTAAAGGCTCCAAAAGGAGGGCATTAGCCTAGAATTGGGGATTACAACATCCCTCCTTGAAAGTGAAGGTAGTGCTGTGCAGGAGGAGCCCTGCTGAGTGCAGGAAGGCGCACAGCAGCATGCAGGACACTTAGGGCTTAGGTTTACTGTGGAACTCGAGGCTCCGGAGGTGTGGTAATGGCTATTCACTGTGGCTGCTCTAGGGTAAAGGATGCATAGGGCAGGCGAGCAGAGAAAAGCGAACTGAGGCAGGACCTCGACGGGAGGAGAGGAGGGGTAGGGGATGACATGGAGGATACACGGAGGGTGCCTCAGAGGGCACAGGTGGGAAGTCCTGTAGGCAGCAATGCAGATGCTCAGGATAAATGGGCTTCAAGCCGGCCCAGAGCTGGAAACTGCTCTGCTGAAGTGTAATGAGGACCCACAAACTGAGCCTCTGGGCTGAGCATCCAAGAATAGGTGCACACCACAGGCTTGGTGGTAGGGGACCACAAATGAATGCTTTCCGTTTGCTTTAGGAACAACGTCCCAACATTGGTGGCCTGGAGCCTATATAGGCAAAACTGTATTCAAGATCAGGGCAGATCTGGGCATTAGTAGCTGATGGATGCAAGTGCTAACTTGCTCATTCATTCATTTTCATAGTCCCCCATCTCCCTTCCCCCCCATCTGTCTCGATCTAGAGAGAACAGTTGCTTGCCCTCAGCCCTTGTGGCTGCAAGATGGCACGGAGTGGAAGAAAGCAGAATGTTCTTGCACTAGATAAAGAAGTGAGGCATCGGTGGTGGAGGGGGCACAGCCAGCGGGATTGAGGTTGAGAGGCCGAGCTCTGTGTGTCTGGGTGTCCACAGCTTGAGCACCTCTGGAAGTTTGGGTGGCATATTCCAGTCCAGTGGCACCAGCTCCAACTCTGGCTACCATACTTTGACCTGTCGCACATTTGCCAGGACAGAAGTCATCCACGGTGCTGCGTGGCGCTCTCAAGCTAGGCAGCTGGACGCTGATACCTGCTGGTTTGGCAGCCTGAAACAAGCTGCAGTCATCAGAAGAAGGAGCCGCAGTGGAGGAAATGCCTCCATGAGATCCAGCTCTGAGGCATTTTCTCAATTAGTAATTGGTCGGGGAGGGCCCAGCCCATGGTGGCTGGTGTCCTGAGTTTTATTAGAAAGCAGGCTGAGCAAGCTGTGGGAAGCAAGCCAGTAAGCAGCAGCAGCAGCTGCCACCCCCCTCCCTCCCATGACCTCTGCATTAGCTACTGTCTCCAGGTTCCTGCCCTGTTTGGGTTCCTGTCCTGACTTCCTTTGGTGATGAAAGGCCAATGTGGAAGTGTAAGCCAAATAAACCCTTTCCTCCACAACTTGCTTTCTGTGGTGTTTTCATTGCTGCAATGTTAACCCTAACTAAGACACCCAGTATCCAGCAGAATGCAGACAGGCTTTTACTGTCTGAACTGAGAAGAGGACTGTGTGGAGCCGAGTGTGCTGGGCATGCCTGCTGGTCCTCCGGCCCGGCAGGAGTACCAACGGCATGGTGCAATCCATGCTTGAGCTGTTACACCAGGCACAGTGAAGGTGGTCATTTTGTTGCTTTTTTCTTCGCCATTATAATTTGTATTTTAAAAAATGTGTGGCAATTTAGCAAATATGATTATGGAAGGGGCATGGTTTTGAATTGTGGCCACCAGGGGCCGCTGCAGACTAGCCCATGAACAGAGGCAGGTGACTAGGAGTCTGCTCATGGGGAAAGTACCTCACTCTTGGGCCACTAGTTTCTGGTTACCTGGGTCCATTGCTTCTACAGTATATGAGGGGCAGGGGGCTAGATGACAAGGAAACACGAACAAATAATTTTTAGCTGGCCAGTCATATTCTCTTTGGTGATTTCCAAAAGTAATCACAAAATAAAATACTCGAGGGTAAAACAGTAAAACAGGTGGGCTAGTGTACCTGGGTTAGGCACAGTTCAGGTGGGTTAGGACAGTGCAGGTGGGCTAGGGACGGTACAGGTGGGCTAGGGACCATGTAGGTGGACTAGGGACAGTGCAGGTGGGCTAGGTATGGTACAAGTGGACTGGAAACAGTGCAGGTGGGCTAGGGACAGGGCAGGTGGGTTAGTAACGGTAGTCAGGACAGGTGTGGTACACTAGCCTGACTGATGAGCAGCACAGAGCCATCCCGAGAGAAAGGACTTTTCAACAGTCTTCGACACGCTCCTGTAGGAAGACTTTGAAGTGTGACTAGCAGTTACAATTGTGAGTTACCCACTTAGCTCCTCACAGCAGAGACAAGGCGAGGGTTTTAAAGAGGTGGTTGTAGAAACTGAACTTGCAGAGTCGGGAAGGAACTAACCTGTAACCTTCCTTACTATTCCTGCTTCCTTCCATCTGACACATTCTCATGAGTGTGACAGTGAACATTGGACACTCCCTTTCCTGCCCTTTTAAAAAGAATATTAACAGAGGCTGCTTTTTATACCAAGGCATTGCCATCTTAATGTTCTTTGGGACACCACTCTTGTCGTCTGTGTGTTTGCCACTAGGAAGTAACTTCTGAGTGCAAGTGAAGACAGTCTGTGAGTCAAAGGCCAGGGAAAGCTGCGGTGGGGGGGGGGGTGTGTTCAGCGCTTACGGAGGGCTTGTGCTTTGTGGAGGACGTTAGATCTTAAGCAGGCTTGGTGAGGGACACCGTTGGGTGCCTTGTCCTGGTGCCAGCCTCTAACTGCCCCCCTTTCCTGCTGGGAGCTCACAGGGCAGCCTACCATTTCTCTGGAGCCCATGAAGATAACCGAGCAGGTTCAGGAGAGGCATCCCCTCAGATGAAGACTGAACCAGATGAGTGAAGAAGAACATGCCAGTATCTTCAGAGGACAGTTAGCACTAACCAGCAACTAATGTCAGCCTGGACTTAGGAACTACTGACCATTTTCCCTGTCAGATGGGAACAAGACAAGGATAGCCATTATTCATTGTCATTCTAGAAGTCTGAGCCAGAGAAATAGGACCAGGAAAAGAAGAAAAAGTAGTGAGATTGGAAAAGAGGAAGGTCGTTGTCACCGCAGATAAGGCGACCTTAAATAGAGCCCTCCAAAAAGGTGTTAGGATGAAAGAATTCAGCAAAATCTCAAAACAGAAGAAAGGGTTCAAAATTCAGTAGTATTGCCTTTGCCAGCCGCGAGATCTCTGAAGCAAATTAGGACAGCAAGGCCCAAAACAAGAAAGTCAATGCAAGAAATTAAAAATCTTAACCCTCCCAAAAAGAAAAAAAGAGTTGATGAACACACACAGATTAGAAGGCTGCCCTAGGCTTGCGGGGACCAAAAATCAGTACTGCAACCTAGATCAAATATGATATTCTTCACAGAAGTGCACAAACTCTAGCCAGAACTGTGTTTAGAGCCATAGAAAGCTCCAACTAGGAAAACAGTCTTAAGCATAAATCACAGTGTAGAGAGCATTGTGCTGCCTGAACCTAAAACACTACAAAGCTGTGGCACTCAAAACATCGAGGCACTACTGTAAAAACATACTCATGGATCAATGAGACAAGTCTGCAATCAAGCGCTCCCATCTAAACCAGCAGAACACCAACGTAGTAAAGAAGGAATGCGCAGTGGGAAAAAGTCAGCAAATTGTGCTGGGAATTGAATATTCATGTTTCACTGGTTACAAAAATAAAAGGGCCTGGAAACCATAAAGCATTCAACAGAAACTTGAGGAAAATACCTCAGGATGCTGGGGAGGTTGGTGGTTTTGTTTGTTTGTTTTTGTTTTTATCAGATCTCAAAAGCATAGGCAAGCAAAACAAACAATCGAAAGCAGTAATTGATAATGGGGATCACATGAAGCTAAAAAGCCTGAAACAGCCTGAAGAAACAACATACAGAATGGAAGACATCACCTACCAAATCAATGCATATCAGTCCAAGCTAACACGGAGCTTAGAGAAGGAAGCAAGAAGGGTGGTGTTCGGGCAAATAGTTGGATTAGTATTTCTGTTTGTTTGTTTATTTTTTCTCATTGCCAAGATAAAAACGCTGGGTATGAAATAACTTAAGGGGGGGAACTATTGGTGGTCCTAAGGGACACAGTCATTGTGGTGGGGGAGCTGTGGTGGAGGACGGTGAAGTAGCTGGTCATGTGGCATACACAATCAGGAGCAAAGTTTGGTAAATGTTGTTCCTCAGCTCACACTCTCCTCATTCTTAATTCTAAGCTCCCAGCTTGTGGCAATGGTGCCAACCACGTTAGGCTAGGTCTTCCCATCTTAGCTCACCTCATTAATCTAGATCCCACACAGGCACACCTAGGGATTTGTTTCTATGGTAACCAAATCCCATCAAGTGGACAATCAGAAATAATAATTGCACCCATTAAAAATGGGCAAGCCGCCTAAATAGACATCTCTCAGAAGACATGGGAATGTCTGGCAGATACACATAAAATCTCCAGAAAAAATGTAGGCCAAAGTCACAGGAAGATGTCTGTCACTCCATCCCAATAGGTGTGTCTGTCTGTTGGCAATGGGACAGGGCAGCAGAGCTGACGGGTGTGGCTAAGAGGCTGCTGGCACACTTGCTTGGAATTAACACTCCAGTAAGGATGTCCTAAACCGAAAGCCCAAGC